GGGGTGGGGGGGCGGGTGGGGCGGGTGGGGGGGGGGGGGGGGGGGGTACAGGGATTTTTTCAAAAAAGAAATTTTTCTCAGAATTCTTCACAAGATATATAAATCGACTCAGTTTTTAACGCTGATTCCGAATCTGGTATTAGTTTTGAACCAAATCGTAGCTTTCCAACAAAATATCGCCTGAAAAAGTTCTAAAAATGCACCAAAACTGCATCCAGAAAGCAAATTGGCTAGATATGTCTCAGATGATAAAAAACAAAGTGAATATACCTGTTCACTTTTTGAAGTACACATAACACTCGGATTTAAATCCAAGGTTTTCGCATTTATTTCCTCTCTCAAATAAAGATTGTCATTAATAATAATATAATCATAATGAAGAAATTAATTACCTAAGTTAATCTAAAAGTAAAAAATAAACGAAGATGAAAATAAAAATACATTAGTGAATAATTTTATGAAAAATTTTGTATCTTTATTCATAATTGAAATTAAAAACCGAAAGAAAATCTATATTTAATTTTTTATCAATAATTGTATATAAGCCAATAAATTCATCTGAAAAATACTGCTTTTGTCCAGTCAGTTGTTTTCCAAATAATATCACTAGATCACAGTTATGATATGAAAACCATTTCATAGTTCAATTTATAATTTAAACCTTGTTTATGTATAGGAACGATGCATTATAAGAAAAATCTCATTTATCTGAGGAAAGAAAAAAAAGTAAATTCTATCTTCTCCCGGATATTCTCTTCATATACTTAATGAATAATATTTCTCTGTCTAATATATTCCAATGAAAATAATATTTCAATAAAAATCTAAAAAAAAACAAATAAAGCAAAGTTGTTTTCAAATAATCATAAAGGATTCATTTTGTCCTTCATAGTTATTTTTATAGTTTTCATCCATCATTGTCTGTTTCTCCCGTTCTTTTTTTTTTCCTTCATATCGATTTGTCAATCCATACCGTTCGACAAAAAAAAAGAATTTTTCACAAGACAAGAAAAAAAAAGAAACAGATAAATCTATATGTACATACAAAATAATATGAAATATTGATGAATAGGAATATTTTTTTATGCATCTCTATCCTAACGATAATAATTATTATATCCACCTCCTCCTCCTCCTGCTCCTCCTCTTCGTTGTTGATTATAATTTCCATTACGTTGTTTTATATTTTGATAATCTTGTTCATTTCTATTATATGGATGATAAGAATTTTGTTTTCGACGATCAAATCTTGGTGTTGACATACGATCTTCATATGAATAATGTTGTTGTGGTGAATAATTAACATCATTATTAGAAAAAAGTGGTACTGGTAATGGTTGTTGTTGCTGTTGCTGCTGCGGCGGCGGCTGTTGTTGTTGTTGTTGTTGCGATTGTGGTGAATGCCATGATGTTGAACGATGTAATAATGAATCATTAACATATATTTCTGGTGTATAAGGTTCATTTGGATTATTATTAAAATCTTTATTTGATGAACGAGCTGCTAAACGTAACGGACGATTAAACAGACAAACACTTTCCATAATAGCTTCAGCATACGGAACGGATTCTTCATGTTTAAATGTAATAAAAGCAAATGTTCGCCGACCATCACGTTTCATTGTTACCGTTTCTAAAGGACCACTCTAATGAAACAAAAACAAAGATTCTTTTTTCTGTATTTCTTTAATATTAATAAAATAAAAAGATTTTTACTTGAAGAAAAAGTTCAAATAACATTTCTTCCGTAACATTTTCATGTAAATTTCCACAATATAATGTTCGACGATCTCTATTCTCACGATGAGCCATATCTAAAAACAAGAATAATTTGACAATAGACGAACAAGGAAAAAAAGAAGAAGAAGAAAAAAACATAATATACAAATAACGTAACAGTCATTTATTTATTATTATTATTGGTGTTCTTTTGTTCAATTACCAATGAGAAGAATGTTTAAAATTGGAAATAAAAATTTAAAATAAAAATTTATTTAAAACATTTTGGAAATTTTTTTGTTTATAATAATTAATATATTTGAGTTAGACAAAAAAACACATAGAAAGTAATGCTTGCCATTGATTGGTGATCGTTAAAAAAAAGTATGAATCATAAACACGCGATTAAATACGGTCATATATTTTTTTTTTCTCATTTTTTTTTTTTCAGTACGAAAAAACAATTTTATCATGGACAATATTAGGGATGATGTAATCTATCCACTTGACATAAGTTAGAATTTATTTTTCATATATATATATATTTATGAATATATTATTTAAAGGTTCACTTAATCGATATTTTATTCAATTGATTTCTTGCGCTGATGATTATCAATTTCAAGAATTGATTAGAACATTTTTACCAATACTTATTCAAAGTATTGAAGTACAAACAGATGATTTTAGAAAAAAAGTAAGCGAAAAAAACTAAGTTATTTTTTATTACATAATAATAACAATTGTAAATAAAAGATTTTTCTTAAAAACATGGGAATTAGTTATGAATTTCAACGATATTTAATAACTAACAACTAGAAATGTCTTAACTATTTCGGAAAAGATTAGACTTACATAATTTATTGATATTGATTTAGATAAAACAAAAATCATCTAGGGATAAGATTAAGTTTTCACTAAAGAATTGTCGAAGTCTAGGAAAACAACGAAGGGATTAAGGTTTTTTTTTTTTATTCCTGAACGCTCATAAATTTCTTCATTTCCTTGATTAGATTCAATTCGATACATATACCTTTTTATAGAATGAAACCATTTATCTTATTAAAGATTGCTTTTTTTCTATAAGCTATAAAAAATTATTTAAGACGGAATTTTCTCGATCTTCAATTTTCTGTAGTATTCATTATATAATCGATTTTTGTGTTTTCATAGGCAGTTGAAGTTTTTATACATATCAATAAACGTGTCAAAACTCGACCAGAAATTCAAATTCCAGTGAAAAGTCTTTTAGAAATATTTACAACATCAACACAATGTTCACCATTTGCTTCTGTAAGCAACTTCTTTTTTCTTTTATCCTTTAGAAGATATTTTATTCTATGCTTTTCTTTTTAGAATTTTTCTATAATGTATATTAAAATGGGCTTTATGCGTTTAAAACCTGATTATCAAATTGAATTAATACCTCTTCTTTTTCAATCATTAACAAATCGATCAATTCCTCATCAAGAGTTACTTATGGGTCTTATTGTTTATGCTTTACAATATGTTAAAATTATTCCAAATATGAATGAAAATATTATTAAATATGGCCTTACTGATCAACCAATAATTCGAAATTTATTTCTTAATTTTCTTCTCAATATTATTCTTTTACCTTACAAGTTCGTTAAAAACATTTGTTTTAACTGTAAAGCTTCAACCCTGAAAAATCGATCTTAGGCCAAGTGCATTTAAATCACATGAAATTTTCAGCCGTATATCATCATGATTCCAGAAGATTCTTTTTATTTGAAAGAACATGTCAGATTGCAGTGCCTTTCTTTTAAATTCTTATTTTTCAGAGGAGAAAAAGGATGATAAATTTAATACTTTGAAAAAGTGATCGTCCACTTATAGAAGTGCTTTTTTATATAATAATAAAAAGCTGTTAGGACAATGATTGTACTTAAAATATGAAACATGATGTAGTTATTGTTGTTAATCATGGGAAGATTGTTTTATTGTATCTATTTGGGACATATGTCTTAACTATTCGTTTAGTAAAGCCTCCAAATATGCAATAAGGAAGTAGATCATATGAAAACGAAACGTTATTGATATACGGTCTTGGATCGTATATCAACAATATTTGTCATGGTCTGTGGGTGAATGTAAATTTCTGCCATATACACTTCAGCATGTCTTTTAGATTGTGTTTTACAAAAAAACCTTAATTCTAAAAATAGGCTTCGCCAAGTACCACAACTCCATATGTTCTTTGAAACAAAACAAAATTTCTTTTTGTGGAAAAAACATATTTTTCAAGTAGAAAGTGAATTTTGGAGAAAAATGAGGCGCCGAATAAAAAATCATACATTCGATTACCTTCTCATGCGTTTATTTCAATTTCCAATATTCTTACGAAAATTGATTTTTTTTTTCGAGGATGAAGGCTTTAATCAACATGATTGAAGAAAAAACAATATTTTTCTATTGATAGATTTGAAGAGAGTAAACCTCGGAATACGACTAGAACTACTCAACGATCATATATTGAACCTTCTCAAGCACCTGTTGATGAAGTACTTTTTTCAACAATGGATGATGCACCCAGTAAAGAAGCAGAAGTATTTAAACAGCCATATCCATGTATGAATGAACAATTATATAATCGAATAACTGAAGCCATACAAACTGATGATTTAAATCAAGTTGAAAAAGTAAGAAAAAAAACAAGAAGAATCATATTTAATTAATATTTATCTATTAATTTAGCTTAAAGTTGCAATATTAAAATTTCTAAATGGAAATATTTATTCAGAAAATGATATAATATTTCATTTTGTATTAGCAACAGCTGATTCAAGATACTCGTAGGTATGCTAATTATATACATGAAATAGAAAAAGAAAAGTATTTTTTATTTTTTTATTTAGTGTTGTTTTAGCTGCTGAACATGATATAAAACGTTTAACAGTTGCTGTTGATTGGAATTCAATGCAACATGTACAAAGTTTATTTGAATTCTTTTTAGGAACATCAAAAACAATTAAACAACAAGTAAAATTAAGATGTACATTAAGGTGCAAAAGTATTTGAACTTCTTCTCCGAATGAATATGGAAACTAATCATCTTGGTTTTACTAAATGATTTAGAATGAACAAGCTGATTTTACAGCATTCCTCATATATAAATAGATTCTATTCATTGAGATTTGATGTGTTTTGCTGCTAGAAACAATATTGAAGGATCCATCAGAGATTCTCGATTATGTTGACGTCGGAAGTGTTTGAGGATCAGGCGATCATTCTAGATACTTTCTTAAGTAATAATTCTGTTTATTGCTTGAATTTGGTGCTTGGGACTAATCCCGAAAATTGACAGAATTAAATTCTGAAATTGCGGATGAGATGACCTGCAATGGTTTTAACATACTCATGTTCGCCGATATTCTACTGAATGAGTACCACCGAACCAAAGTTATGCACTTAAACCGCCGTATTAACATGATTTTCTCTCTATTTTTCGGAATTCGCTTTATGTCGACTCTTAAATTGTTTGACTATCAGCGAGCCGTCTTTCTGAATAAATCATGGGAAACCTTGCCAATGAACATTATTCAGCTCTAATTTTTGTCTTTGTGTTGAATTGATCCCTTGACATTTGCATCCTTTTGTTTTTGCATGCTAGCATTTGCATCGCATAGAGTTAATGAGGGAACTACGTGAACTGATAACTATTGATTGAATTCATATTGCACCTACAAAGACGTCTTGGCAAGACTAACAAAACAGTGGCTATCAATTCGATTAATTTCCTCGTTAGTATTTCTCTGGACCAGTACCGTTCAAGTTGGTGCTGTATTTTCCACAAGGATATGTATCTATCACTGTTAGCAAACGGTTTTGTATTTGAGAGCAAAGATTTTAGCACCTTACTGTAATTTTAAAATAAAATGAAAAGAAAAATTAAATATTACATATTTTAGAATGCAGATTTAATTCGTAATCCATCAAATACTCGAATACGTTTAAAACTTTATTCTTATTTACTTAAATCACGAACAGCTAGTACAATTTTTCCACATGCAATTCAAGTAAAAGAAAAAAGAGTATTTTTGTATGATTAAACAATTATTTTGATTGAATTTAGATTCTTTATGAAAGTCTTTTTGGTAATTCAACAAATGTTCGTATTAAATATTTTTCATTACAATTTGCACAAAATATGATTCAAAAGTAGATTTTATATTAAAAAGAAATCGTTTTTTTTTTTTCTAAATGATTTTCTTCTTTTCTTTTCTAATTTTTTTAAGTGCGGAATTAAATAGTCTTGTTGGTGTATCAAAATTAATATTACATGCATTGGAAAAAATTCTTATTACAGAAACAAATAAAACACATGATGCATCACGTTTAAGAAGTTTAACATATGTTTTAATTGGTAAACTTTCATATCGTGTACCAAAATTATTTTCTGATGATATTAGATTAACACAACAATTTTTTGAAGCATTAAAAACAGAAGATAATGAATGTTGTTTAAATATTCAAGAAGCTCTAACGTATGTAGAAAAATATTTTCTCACAGTCAATAAACAGCGTGAATATCAAAGAAAAATGACAATCATGTGATTAAATTTAATTTACCATAGAAATAATATTATTTAGTTAATATAAATCGGAATGTGTGTGTGTTTTCTTGGTTGATAAATCTATTTGAATAGTTTTTGTTAATTATTAGTAGATGTCAGTCAACGAGTTACTATCATATTAGAATAGTTAAGCATATTAAATTATGATAATCTTGAATTTGTCAAGAAGTTTAAATAATCGATATTTTAACATTTTGCTATGTGATATAGAAGTATGTTCAGTTAGTCGCTTGATAGTATTATTTGGAAAACAACAAATATGAAGACAAGAATATTCTATGTTATCATGTTGAAAAACTAATAATGGTACCAATAATAATAACTGATGAATTTTAGTTCATTGAATATCAAGGTCATACTCGTAATTATTATTTATGAGGTTTAATTAAACTGATCAAGGAAGTTCATCAGTTGATTAATTGCTTTTGAATCACAATTATGTATATAATGTAGGTTCTAATAAGCAATGAATACGCCAAGAAGAGCTTGAATCTTTAACTGATTGCTGTGAGCATACTGAGACAATACGGTATTTTTCAAGCTACTATCGCCGTACCCTCAAGAACAGAAGAAAAACTAGGTTTTTGATTTAAAATTGATATCTTCCATAGAGGCAAATCTTTTTGTAAGATACGACCAAAGACTTCAAACTTTCACAATAATCTATTGTCGTTAAAACTTACCTCTCTAAAGTTTCAAGTTGAAATTCGAAAATAAGTTTTTCTTAGAGAGACCACGGCATTGAATAAAAAAAACTGTATTGTTGCAGTATTGTCGCAATAATAGACTGAGAGCTTGAACTCTTTTTAGAATATTCATAGTTCATTCAACTCTACATAATGCATATAGCCTCCAGTCAAAAGCAATTAATCAGTTGAGTCAATTCCTTCGTGAATCGCACGTTATTTTCCGCTAACCTTGATTATTCTTGGACTGATGTATCGAATGATTCAACATGTTTACAACGCATTCTATTTTGCATACGTCTCTTCATATACAAATGATAAAATCTTAAATTTTTTTCAAAATTAAAGAAAAACTTTTTGACTTATTCTGATATGTGAGAAATGACTAGTTTCAATTCTATTGAAAATAACAAAAATTTTCGTAATAATACCTATGTTGTATTTATTTCGACACAAAGAAATCATAAAAAACTAAAGTTTTTTTTTTAATCAGATGCGTCAAGAAATTTTTCACAGTAATCAAAGCAAAATATGCTCTTGACTTATTTTAATCAATTTTGAGAAAGCTAAAAGAAAATCTGTACAATTGACTGTTGTGATTTATATCTGCTTCAGATACAGTCATATGGATTTTCTCTCTTTATCTACAGGATTATACATATGCACTTGTGTTCTTCTTCTTTATTCTTATTGTTTAGTCATGTGCCATGAAATTTCCCTTTCCTGCCATACATATTTATATGATGGATGTTTTTCCGTCCCTTCTCTTCTTTGATGTTGTTCTATGGATTTTCCCCATGTTATCAGTCTACATATATATAGTCATTACATTGTTGTTAAGAGAGAGATAGAGTTAACATTGACCACAATTGGAGATCTGCAAGACCGAGACTACGAGAAAAAAGTTGTCCCAACTGTAACTAAAGATTATAGCTTTAAGCAAATTACCTCATATAGAGAATTTCTATAGAAATGATTTGTCATCAGTACTTAAACTGTAAACAATATTTTTTTTTTATCTCTACATGAATATATTTATTTATGAGTCTTCAGTATAAATAGTACAAAAAATGAAATTTAAAACAACTGTCATTTTGCTTTTGTATCTGAATTAATAAACGATCGATGATATTATTCGTTTATTAAGAAAATTAAAAAGTTTATCATTTCGATATTTTTCAATAAGAAATTCTAATAACGCGTGATTGAAAAGTAATTAGACAAAGTGTTCATTTATTTTCAGTGTTTTTTTAAGGAGCCTGCAGAAATGTGAAAAATTGAGTTTGGATTCCTTCTCAATATTGGTTCAAAATTTGTATAGAACTTCTGATTTAGAAGTTATAAGCAGACCCTTTTAGAAACTCACAAAAATAAGTTTGAACGAAGTTTAGTGCTTCATAAATTACTTAAAGTAGAAGCGAAATTTATTTTAAATACAGGAAATGAAAGAGCAAATTTTTCTCAATAAAATACTCGATTAATGATTAGTTAGGTTTAAGTCATTTATTAACAGCAAATGGTTTAGTAAGGAACACTGTTTCAATTTAGACAATGTTCTCAATATCTATAGAAAAGAGACTTGCACAGTGTGAGTTCGAGTATTTCTAAATAATTGTTCTTCGACGCTTGATTTCTATATCACTTTGTGGAAAACAATTTTGTTCTTAATTCTATGGAAAATAAAAGTTTTTAATATAGCGTATGTAGTAAAAGAAATTGTACTAGCAAAGAACGTCAATTTTCTCTATGTAAATTTGATTTATAAGCCTCTAAAAGATCAACTCAACACTTCTGAACCAGAGTTCCTACAAAAGTGTTGAAACCCTATTCAGAAAGAACTAAATTCTGATTCTACNAAAGGAAGTGAGATTTTTGGAAATCCTTAAATTTACCTCTGAGGAATAGTGTTAAGTATCTATAAACAAAATTTCAGCCCAATCGGACTAAATTTAAGGGGGGTCGTAATGTATCAGGATGCGGACCTCTGAAAAACCAGAGTTTTCCTGAAAACCCCAAAAAAACTTAGTTAAAATTTTTTTTTCCTCGAACACGTATCTCGTTATTTTTGATGCTCTATCTGTGCTGAAAATTTGAGCTTGATCGGTCGTACCGTCTTCGAGAATCAGAAACTGTCAAAAAAGAGGGGGGGGGGGTACCCTTAATACTTCGCTAATTTTCGTTTGTTCATATTGATGATAGTAAAAATTTTGTGAAAATCATTAGCATACATTGAATAGAATTTATTGTATTAGGCATTAATCGAATAATTTTATTTTATGATGAAATATTTTACTTTAGAATGCAATGTTACATGATGATTATCATCGTGTACGAGCTGATGCTATTCGAACTCTTGTTTTTGCAATATCATCTGTAAAAAATATAAACCAAGAAAATGCCGATCTTTTTAGTGAATATCTTTTTCCAACATTGGTAATGAAAAAATAAGTTCTTTTTTACATTTATCATTTAAATTAAATTTTTATTATTTATCTAGTCAACACCAAATATTCAAGATGATTGTTATGTTCGATCAAATCTTGCGAAATATTTATCTATACTTGCTGAACATTCATTAAGGTAAAAATCAAAACGTATTCTATATTAACAAAATTTTTGTTTTATTTTTTTTTTTTTTTTTGTTCATATAGATTTTTAGAAAAAACTTATTTAATTGAAGAACGAAATCATACAATAAATAATGATCATTTTGTAAGGAAAATTATTGATATAGTAAAAGAAAATTCTTTATTTCTTTTTTGTCGGATAGAAAGTTTATGAAGAAGAATTAAAAAGTGTTCAAACATGGATGCAAGGTAAATTTGGTGATCTTATACATGGTGAAAATGGTGATCAAAATGGACAATTAGCTGAAGCTGTTTGTCGATCGGATCTTATACGTTTATGTACATTTTTTGGCAAACGAAAAAGTAAAAATAAAACATGAAAATCAATTCATTATTATTATTTTTTTTCTTTTATAATTTAGCGATTGAAGTTATCTGCGGACATTTGACAACATTATTAAGTCAACCAAATTGGCGTTTACGTGCAGCATTATTTGATAGTCTTGTTACTGTTGCTTCCTATATTGGACTTGAAAGTGAACTATTCATTTTACCATTATTAAATCAAGTTTGCATAAATAATTGGTTGAAAGAAAACATTTTTTTTTCTGTTTTAAGGGATTAGTTGATGAAGAAGAATTTGTTGTTTATCGAGTATTAAAAGCACTTGCTTGTTTTGTTCGTTTATCATTATTAAAACGTAAAACAATTTATGAATTTCTTCGACAAGTTGCACCACTTATTTGTCATCCAGTATGAAAAGAAATTTTATTATTATTATTCGTATAAGTTTTTATTTATTGATTCTATTTTCATTTTTTAGAACCTTTGGCTTCGATTAAGTGTTATTGAATTCATAAATAGTATTTGTGAAAAGTCTCATTTGGCTGATGTACATGGATTTGTTATACCGGTGATTGAACGATTCTTTAAATTTCCAGTTGTTCAAGTTGAAAATCCTGTACGTAATTATAAATTTTAAATATTTGAATTCAAATAGAATGTCTTTGCCGACGTTTACGAAAGTAGAATTCTGCAAGTAGATTGACTCAATCGGACAGAAAGGCTTAGGCTTCACTTTTGAGTTTTCGACAGTCATTTATATTTTAGTATTACGGAGAATCTTCGATGATGATGCTAATAACAGATTGAAATACTTAGCATATATATGTTTAATAGAGATGAGATCAATTCGACTCGGTTCAAAAATAACATGAATCGATGCCATCTTTGATAGCTAAGGATTCAAGTGCGTCATGACTAGAATTCTGAGAGAAAGTTCCGAATTCTGAAAAATCCTGTTTGTCCCATTTCATGGGATATTCGAGATTGTCTCGAAAATTTTCGATACGGCACATTTTAAAAAATTTAAAAAAGATTTGGAACTTGAAAAAAGTTTGTGTCCACAGAACTTTAGTCATTGAATCATACCTTTCAACTCCGAAGCCATTAGTACAATTAAACAATTAGAAGAAGATTAACAAATGAATTCTCTAAGCATTTGTTCAATAAAAACTAAAACAATAACTTGACAAGTACTGTCTCGGTAACATTCTCCAATAGTCGGACGCTATGCGATCTGATAGTATGGGTTCAATTAGATCTCTGTGAGAGTAAGAAAAAGGTATAAGTATTCGGATCTATGACCTATTGGTGAAGAGCTATGGTTGTTTTAATGAATTTTTTTGTTGTCAAAACATGTCATTCTCGAAAATATCAAAATGTAGAATTTTTTCTGAGATATGTTCTTTTAGATGGAGTTAATAATCATTAAAAAGTTTTGAAAATTTCAAAGGAAATGAACGTTATTTCTCGAGAATTCAAAAAACAGCAGCTTACCACTGAAGGACAAAATAGTTAAATTCATTTGGAATATAAGTATCTCGACAACGACACGTTCATTTTGTTTGAAGCTTTTTAACAATGATTACTTCTATCTATAAGTAACATCGATGTCCGACAATTGAGGATGTTTACTCATGAGTATTCTATGGAGAACGTAGGTTTGAACTAATAGACTCGAACATTTCGAAATCTATACGCAAAAATTAAAAAGTGTGAATTTAGTTTTTTTTTGGTGAAATACGATCTAAAAGAAGTGTTGTAGTATCGAGATCAAAATTTTGATCCTCCTCCTAGAGACCGTAGATCAATAACATCTACTTATAATATATAAACTACTTCTTTATTCCATTTCTGAAGGCTTAAGTAGAAGGATGGTGCAGAAATCTGTCCTAAAATAGATAGAAAAAATCAATAAAATATTATTTATTATTTAGGATATATTATATAATGCTTTGATAGAACCATTATCACGTGAATTATTTGAACATGTTCAAAAAATTGAAATAAAAGAAAATTTATTTCGATATTTAACTGATCGATCTAATGTTCGACAAATGACAGGTAGTGGATTAAAACCAGCTTATATTGAATCTAATGATTCTGTTCTTCGTGATGTAAGATAGTTTATTTTTTAATAAAAATTCATATTAATAAAATTATTTTCTTTTCAAAGGCATTTGAAAGATTAACTGAATTAGGAATGAAAGAAGAAGATGAAGATAAAATTTTAGCATTAAAATTTTTTGTTAAACAAATACCACAAAATAAATTAAAGTAAAATTATAAAATAAAACATAAAATATTACATATGTGTATGTATATATTTCTTTTTATTTAGTTCAAGTGCATCAACTGAAACTACAGCTCGACCAGGTACAGTTTATATAAAAACTCCACCAGGACGACGACTTGATTTAAGTTTAAATATAAATCGAACTAATAATGAAAATTATTCAACAAGAAATATTAATAATGATGCTGTAAGTTATATTCATTTTAAATAAAAAAAAAGAGATTTCTGAAATATTTTTTTTATGTTTTAGTCCGATTGGTCGGAAATGTTTGGTGCTGTAACAATGCAAATTGCAAATCAAGAAGACAATATTCCAACTAGTTTAACAATCAATCCAAATGATAAAACAATAAATGAAAATAATGATGAAGCTATGTTAATTGATACAATGCAATATCAATTACCATCAACAGAAAATATAACACAACATCGACCACATGTTTTTCTTGAACCATCATCAAAAATAATAAGAACAGGTTTTTATTGGTTTCATTAATCTATTAAGGACGGGAGACACATACATATATATATAAGTCTGTTTTCGAATTAACTCCTAATTAATTTGTACATACTTCTTATGATCAGGGGCGTACCCAGGAATTTTCTGAGGGGGTGCCCGGCTCATTATGGGGATAGACACTAGCAGAAAAAATAATTTTTGCTTCCCGAAAAAATCTTTTACCCGTACCCCCCTCCAGGTGTTTTTTGGCTAATGGGGTGCCCGGGCCCCCTGGGCACCTCCCCTGGGTACGCCCCTGCTTATGATCTGCAGTAGTATACAAATCATCGATCTGTTACACTGTTATTTATATTGAGAGGGCGTGAGTGCCGCGAGAAGAAAAGTACAATAAGTCAAAAAAAAAGACTGAAACAACTCAAAAGTTGGAATAAAAAATCAGGAAGACATAAAGAACTTTCTCAATTCACTTACTTGTTAAATTGATCGATCATACGGAAAGACAAGAGCAATGATTAATTGAGGCAAATGATGACTATACATGATATTAAAATAAATATTTTTGTTACACTTTAGTTCGATAATAAAAAATGAAAGTAGATATTAAAAATTTTAAACAAGAGGAGAATGACTTTTGTCCAGAAGTATATATCGCGTGAGAGTTTCGAAAATTTCTTGTTTTCTTCTTAATAGTAACCTCATCCTCAAGAGGTTAATTTTTTCATTTTTCTTCAAAGGTCTTCGATTACAATGTTTAACTGAACAAAATAATTTATTATTAAAACATGAAGCTATCTATCGTGAAGATTGTCAACGTGCTAAATTACTTAAACATTGTGTACCGACCAATGTTTATGAAATATCGGATCAAAAACTTTGGACACCACAAGGTATTCTTCTTGGTCATATTCATTTACATAGTGGAAAAATTACAAAGTAAGATTTTGAATAAAAAAAAAAAAGAATCTAAGTTTATTTTAAATATGAAATTATTTAAAGATTAGCATCCAGTCTTGTTTCTCCATCAATTAATTATACGCAACTTTTTGCTACCGGTGATACAAAAGGAGCTATTCGATTATGGGATATAAATCAATTTCAAAAATCTCTTATCTTTCGACCATCACGAGCTATTCGTGGAACAGGTAAAAACTTTAATACAGTATTTGAGACAAAAAAGCGATAACATAAATCTTATAAATGTAATGGAATATGTAGATAGTATGTCATTTACAGTTGGTAAACGAAAAAAATAATACTATTAGTTCTTTCTTTTTTTCTTCTCTTGACTTGTGTATGATCTATGTTAAAATGTTATTATTATGCCATAAACAAAAAAAAATGTCTTGTTAGTTGAAATATTCGACACTTTTTTCTTTTGACCTTTCTACATCACATCATTTTGATCATTAGAAAAAAAAACAATTTTGAACAAGTTTTAGAAAGCAATAGTCTAAGATACTAACGTTCGCACCTGAATTAAAGAGATATCATCGAAAATTACTCGATAACGGCAACATATAGCTATCTGAAGTTTTCAACAATCGAAAGAGTAGAACTTTGAGTGTCTTTTTCTCTAATATTATATAAGATAGAATTATTGTAAGACTTACTGTCTTCGTAAAATATTAAAATGCAATGCATGAAAATAATGTTCAGACAATAATCACCTGAATTGTGCCTTTGAACTATATATATGTGAGCGAACGTGTCAAAATCAGAATTACATCGAAATAGAATTCTGTTTTAGTGTATTTTTTTCGATTTTTTACGAAGATGATGGTTTTTTAATATAATTTTGTCAAACAAAAAGACATCCGGAGTTCTTCTCTTTCAATTGCTTAAAACTGCAGCTCCCCAGTTGTTGCCATTGTGGAGTTATAAAAACTACATCTACCTCTTTTTAATTCTCGAGAAGATATAAGTTGTTATAATTATTCAATTATTTATTTTCGTATTTCATCAATTTCAATCGAAAATGACAGTAAAATAACTGAAATCTTATAACAACCTTTTTTTCCAAAAACTTAATTTCTCTAATTTTTTTCAAACTGATTGATCATTTATATCGATCATTAATCTCTATAGTTTCTAATAAGATTGAAATCATTAATAGTTGTTAAGGCTCTCTCAGAAATTCCGATTTTCGTCTGCACTGGTCGTTTTTGATATTCATACGTAGTTGGATATCCCTAGTTTTCTACTTTCGAATGCAATACAATTTAACAGAGTATGAGCTTTCAGTTTTTATTTACTTTTTAAGGACAAATGAATTTTTTTTTTCAAAAAACTAGCGTCAAAAACAAATAAAGGAAGTTATTTGAAAATCGGACTCTGTTAAGTTGCAACGGTGAGTGTTGACTACCTTTTGACGCTAACCTGGCACATGTATAATTAGATTAGAGGAATGAATCTGGAACACGTGATTGAGAGTTGCGAGTTTGCAAATCCCAACTCAAACCTACCTACAACTGAAGATTTTTTGATGTTATTGTTGGTTTGACGATTTTCAATGACGAATTTTATTTATCAATTAATTGTTCAATTTTCCTTTTTTTTTAATCTAATACTCTTTTCGACTAATCGAAAACTTTTCATCTATTAAGCATTGAGTGATGGGAAGATGAAAAATAAATATCTATATGTTGACTTTTTCTTCTGATAGTTGTCAGTAAATAGTTAAAACCTTGACTCTTCGATTGTTCATGTACACAGTGGATCTCAGATATTGACGGAAAAAAACTCGGGTCTGGATCTGGATCTAGAAGTTTAGTTTTTCTCGGACTCGAGCCCGCGCTCAGAAGTTTAGCTTTTCTCGAGTTCAGGTTTATAAATATGCGGATCTGCAGCTTCCTAACACGCGGAGGTCTACTTTTTTTTATCCTTGATATTAAGATAGCTCTCGAACATAGCAATATTTTCAACTGAAAGTTTTCGTATAGGTCTTTCAGGTACTTTCTGAAAAGTTAAAATAGATCGATTATTCTCTGGGACGAAAATAGGTTTTTGAAAGAAGGAAGCTTAATTATGAGATAATATTACATGCTGTAGAATGACTTCATGACTTGTCTATCGAATAGATCTAATAATTTGCATTTGCATAATGTTTTTAATTGATTTTTATTCTTTTTAGGATCATCTGTTCGAGGTTTAGCATTTACATCGGATAATAATTTAAATCTTGCATCTTTAAATGAAAATGGACAATTGAATATATATGAGTAAACAAAAATAAATTCCTCATGTTAATAAAAAAAACCAAAAAAAATTCTTTTTCTTTTTCTAGTCTTAATTCTCCAACATCTGATATTCGTGAATCATTTTATAATTTAAAATTAGATGTTACTGATGTTGGTGTACCAGTTGATTTGAAATATTTTAATACTGGTTCGCAAGATATTTTAGCATTAGCCACATCACAAGGTTTAATTGTTGGAATTGATGCAAGATGTTCAACGCCTGTTTTTCGATTTAAAAATGATTTAAATCATCGTAAAAGAAAATTCTTATTTCTCATTCTCTTTTTTGATTTTTATTTATTTTTCTAGGTTTAATAACTGCACTTGAAGTCGATGAACTTCAATCATGGTTAGCTGTAGGCACTGGTAGTGGATTTATTGATATATGGGATATGCGTTTTCAATTATGTATTCAAGGAATAAGACATTCAACAGGTAAAAGAACAAAACAAAAACGAAAAAAGTTTTTAAATTTAAAAAAAAAAATATTTTCAGGTGCACGTGTTATAAGTTTACTTCGTCATCAGGATCAACCGAGTAGTTTGATTAGTTCATTTCAAGGTAATAATGAAGTAGCTGTATGGAATATTGATAAACCTCAAATACGACAAAAAGCTTTTTGGCCATCACCAGTCACACCACTTTCATTAACACAGGTTTGCAACAAACAAAAAAAGTCAAACTCTTTCATAAATGTTTTCTTTTCTTAGTCACTTAATCATTATATTGCATCAATGTATTTATGGAAAAATGATGGATGTATATCATTACTTTGTGCTGGAACAGATATGCGTATAAGAAATTGGAATTTAAGTCAACCAATGCGATCATATATTGTATGTCGAGGACCAGCTGATGATGATGTTTTAACTGCACGTTATCAACCAAAAACAATTGAAGGTGTTGAAGTAACTATTGAAGAATATCATAGACGTAAACATCCATCATCGCCACCAATAGTAACACAATTGCCAAGCGCATCGCCAACATCATCATCTGCCACAACAACAACAACAACAGAAATTAAAACAACAAAGTCAAGTGCAACTATTCCACCAGCACATACTGATACAGTTACATCAATGCAATTAGTTATATCCAAAGAACGTACACCTTATTTAATAACTGTTTCATGTGATGCTGTGGTGAAAATATGGAAATAATTAAACAATTTAATGACGTCCACCCTACTGTCTTTCGTGAATAATTACAATTAAAAAAATACGAAAAGAAACTATGAACCTAGTCTTCTACTTTCTTTATTTCACTTTTGTCTTCATATATAATGTTCGAGCATTTTCTTTTTTTTATTTATTGATTATATATATATATAAATACCAACCAATTGAACCGGTCAGATTAATTGATTTTCTTCACATTAATCTATATATATATATGTATTATATAGATTTTTATTAGAAAAAGAAACATAACTAAATCTGAGAAAGATTTGTATTCTTCTTTTGTTGTACGCAACCTACGTATGATGTTTTCCTTTATTTCGTGTTCTACTTTGGCTTCTTTTTCTTCTTTTTTTTTTTTTTGTATAACTTCAATACCGTATATTAAAATCAAGACAGTTTGAAATATAAATTACGATCATTTTTTTTTTCTATGATTAACTATGTTTTGATAATACTAGTTTACATGAGAATGAAAGCATCGGGTGATCAAATTTAAAACAGATTATCGTTCTAATAAAAATATTTTTCGTCAATAAAACAAAGTCAAAAGCACACAGAGTAGGTCAAAAGGTGAAAATATCGGCAGAGACTTCAATATGGTTCTTTTTATTGAGTGTATATAAGGATGAGCAGTTTTAATTGAATTAAATTTATTTATTAGAGAAAAAGAACGATAAAAGACAAAAATTTTCAATAAATCAGTTAATCAAATTTCGTACCAGACCAATTTTTCTTCATGTCACAACAAAGAACAAATCAGTAAGGATATGAACGTAATGAAGGAGAAGATAAGATCCATAAACTCACAAGAGCACAGTCTAATATTAATCATGTACTGATGATATCTTCATGAATACTTTTTGAAACGAATACCGTTTAACAAACTATGCCTTTTACTTTTTCGACATTTTTATTTCAACCAAAGTTCAGAGAATCTTTATCTTTTACAACTATTTTTTTTTTCAATCCTTATACAATAAAAAATTAATTACAATCAATTTGTCTGTATTGCATTGTCCTATTGATCATAACCGATCAAAAATGAACAACAGAATTTTCACCATTGTGTCTTGACATATTTTTTGAAATCGAATTAGAATATCATTTTTATTCAATTTCCCTACAGAGTTCATTTGATTACATAGTAATATCGTATACAAATTTCAATCTATCGTGGACATTTCATTTTGGTCTTCTAATAATCGTGAAGACCGATTTAATGTAGACTACTCGATCGAATCTTTTATTGAAGTTTGGATGAGAAAAAAAAAGAAAAACTTCAGGTGTGTGGGTGTGGGATTATAAGAAGAATCAAATCCACACCTGCGCACATCTATCATCAAACGTTAAGCCTTATTTCATCTAAATATATATTTTTCTTTACTTAAGGGTCTACCTTTAAGAAATTCTATTTTTGTCAAAATAAATATTTTTTGAAATAAATATTTGAGCATATTGCATGGATCATCTAGTGTATGAATTCATAAAAATACTTTTGATTCTCGAAAGTGCTTTTAGAAGATTTTATGAACAATCTTAGAAACTATCTGGACTAATAATGATCTCTATAGAAATCAGTAAAATTTCTTTGGTAAAGTTAAATAGGCAAAATACAGAAGAAAATTTCAGAGGAAATCAAATCTGACGCATCTTAGAAACACACTTTTTGAAATTTTCAATCAATGAAGAATGTAAATGCATATCTTCTCTTTGTTCATACTCACACTTTAAGGCAATAGATTAAGTAAAAAAACTAATTTGATATCCTTTCGTCTTTATTATGTTGTTGTATAGTATGTAGTTTCACGTACGCAGACAATCTAATATATATAAATAAATGCTTTGATTGGCATGTAATATATTTATGCTTCACCTTCATTTTAAGCAATAATAAGAAGATTACATAAAAGAAAAAAAAAATCTTCTTTCGTGTTTTTCTCAAAACTGATTTTTTCGGTGATTATCGAACTGCGGACAAATTTTTTTCTTGATAACTACATTCTAGAGACCTGTGTTCTCTTTTAATCAGAAGATACATATGGAAATGAATTTTCTAATGAATCGTTAATGTTATATAAACTTGGAGTTTTCTAAAAAAAAGCCTCGCCGAGATTTTTAAACTTTTGAAATTTTGATTATCCGAAAAATAAAGCGCAGTAAAATTTAAAAAACCCTTTTCCTCATCTAAAATGACAAGGACTTCTCTGTCAAATGAAAATAATTCGAGTTGTAATATATATTGATAAAAAATTTGCCCGCATAAAAGCCCAACTTTGAATATGCTCCAGAGAAATGTCCAGAACGGTATGGTATGGAGGCGTGAAATGTTTTTTCATTAATATACTTCCATGAGACAAACATCTATGCAAAGTTTCATCAATATCTCATTTACTTTGTCAAATTTCGATTTTTGAGGAGAATGTCCACTTAATTATTCATTTTTTTAATCAGCCCTACAGATTATTGGGTTGGTCGTAGAAACGGCGAAAAATGCTTTAGATTGTCTCATTCCGATTTTGTATGTGATAGCAGCAAATGTTTTGTTAAACCCATTATCTTAAAATCAATAAAAACAACTTGCTAATTATAACTAAATCCTCGAGAAAAATATTTGCTTACTGATTTCACATTTACTTGATAACACATTTATTGTTGCAATCGAATAAAAAAAATTACATGTGCTTAAAGTCACCGTTTACTAGAAACATCGTTTTTTTCAAAATTTTTAATTTCGACATTTTCCTTTTTCAATACTATCTCTTCAATATTTTTCATTCACCTTTTCTCTTCTTTCATTTACAATTAATACACATATTTCTTTCGTTCAATTAATCAAAGAAAAACATATATGATTAAACAGAAAAAGGTTATATAAGATTAACTTGTCATCTAATTGATCAATCCTACATTTGGAACAATTCTTTGATTAGACTGAATTTGAGCCACTTTAAGTAAATGAGATTTACTCTATATAAGAAAACATATTTGACGTTATTCAGTAACATTTCTCGGTCAATATTCTTATCTCGACAATTTATTTCGAATATTTCTAATGGCTTTTTGTAATCCAGTAAAAGTAATTCTATATGAAATTTTTTTCTAAGTTTGCATGTTCATATTTTGTAGTGTATTCAACCTGATCATTCATCTATCGTAACTCATCCAAAACGTTCAAATACTTCAATGAAAACACTTTTTCGTCGTCAACTATTTAAGAAATCTTCATCTCTTGTACAATCTCAAACATCTATTCATAATTCAGTTCAAAATCATTTGCACTCTAGTGCTCGATTTCAACGTATCAAAGGGTAAGTTTATTTTTTTGTAAGCTAGTTATTATTTATTATTGTAGGTCTAATATTGTCCGAGAAGTTAATCCAAGTTCAGAATATAGTCTTAAAAAAGATTCAACAAATAATTATGATATGACTATATTTCATGATGATGAACTTGATGATACGTACGCAGCTATATCTCGTCGACGATCAAAAAAAATTCCACGCTGGGCTAGAAGTAAGCTTTTATTTTTCTTCAAGTTATGTAAGTTTTTTATTTTTGAATTAGAAAGTCAACTTCAATTAGCATTTATCAATCAAATTTATTTTAATGATAAAAATCCTGAAGATATTTTTGGTTCAATTCAAATTGATGCAGCACATGAAATGGTTCGTTCGATTGAATTAAGTAATACAGAATTTCCTTCAAACTACTCTTTTTCAATGCTTCCACCGAATTTTGTTTAATGCCTTTTTTTTTTTGTTCTTTTTTTTAATGTAATAATAAATTATTATCTTTTAAATAGATAACACTATTTTCTAGAAATACTGATAAGAAAAAAGAAATGATCTAATTGCTGGATTTAATGATTTTTTTTATTGAGTAAATATTGAAAAGAAAAAAAAGTAACGTGTGTCTGATTAAATAAAGACAGTATTAATAACCACACTAAAGCAAAGAGAGAAACCTATATATCCACACTCTAAAGCACAAGAATAAATGAATAAAAAAAAAGAAAGAAAGAAACTTATATATCAATGTTTTTCAAATAATAAACGGCCTGGTTAACCAATTCGGTAATTGACGAAAAGATATTGGTTGTCAAACCACAGGTTGGCTTTGAGACAAGATCTTGTTTCATCATTGATACCGTTGGTGCTTGACCAGTACCGTCAATTTTCGTCGCCATCATTTTCAAACGACGACTTAAAACGGGAGTTTGTCAGGGTGGTTCTTCACGTTTCCATTGAATTTTATTAAAATCATCCGTATTAGCTTTCACTAACATTTCAGTATCATTATTTGTAGTTAATTGTTTTGCTACTTGTAATGCTTGTGCTTGACCAGTTATAAATGCACCAGTGACAGTTGAATAAAAGCGAGTATGGGTATGTTCACCCGCAAATAGTACTCGCGGCTAAAATTTATATGTGTGTTTAACAGGAGAGAAAAGGTTAAAGGTTAAAAATGAAATAGAAAAGATATATATATATATTAAAAAATTGTAATCAAACCTATTTATCTGCTTCATCGTCATCATTCGAACAGAGCCTAGACAAATAAACAACATCAAAACCGACGAACAAGCGTATTCAACAATTCTTAGGTTATTATGGATATATTATCCCAAGATATCGTCTACCTGCGCTGTGTCAACGAGTGTTGTCCATCAATCGGGTTCTGCTCTTCTGAGAGACTACTAAAAGGACTTCAAGCATAAAAATATATATCAATACTATCTTTTTTTTAATTTAACTTATCTTGAGGAATAAATCTTACTTTGCTATGAGCCATTAATGGTTCAGCCAAATCATGAATATGTTGACAAGATGATGCACCAACCGGTACGTATGAATATGAACCTTTTGCACAAGGATTTGAAAACCATTGAGTTCTATATAAAAAAAAAGCAAGAGAATGAATTCGTATGAAATTGAATTCCTATGTTTCATAGTGGTTGGGAAAAAATGAGTTAGAATTCTTGATTATTAACATTGGTATAACCGCAAACAAATAAACGTAAATTCTGTAACCAGTATGATGTTTTTTATTTAATTATACTAATAAATGAATTTATTCGTAAATTTTAATTCATTAATTATGAGAAGTTACTATGGCTGAGTGGCTACATTGTTAGACATGTATCCACAAGGTACTATATGCAAATTTCAATACACTAGCAGCTATTGGATGACTCTAGACAAGTCGCTAATAGGTATTCGTCACGGACAAAAATGTACGGGATCAAAACCAGCAAGACTACATTGTGGTTTACATCTGATCTTGTGGTAAGTATGTGGCTAGCTAGTATATATGTGGGGAACAAGTACTCAGCATTAGACTGATCTTTTGTTTGAAACTACAGTTATTATTAATTGTAGAAAAGATATTGGGCTATCGAATCTATTGCTATGCAACACACCGTACTGTAAGTTAGTTGAGACATCTCTTACCGAACAACTTTTGTTGGTGTTGGTATATTAATATTTTTTAATGATTTTCGAAAAAGATTTGTTAATACATCACCAATATATTTTTCATCTAATTGTTCACAAAAAATAGCTTCATCACCCGTTATCCAACATAATAAAACATTATCATAAACTTTTTGAAATAAGAATATTTTTTTATACCATTCTTTTTTTATATCTAACGTATCATGTTGTCTATCATAAACAATAGCTAATGAATCACCATTAAAAAAGTTTAATTGTTCATAAAATAAATAGATTTTATCAACTGTACCCATATCCATTTTTTGTATTGCTTCAATTTTCCATGCTTAACAAAAATAAAAATTTCAAATTTACTTTCTTTTTATTGTTTTAGAAAATAATTTTCTTAATTTATTTACCTGGTAAAGCTGGACTAAATAATGATTTATAACTCCATTTCATAACAGCTAATGGAATAGTACAAATAACATGATCACATTCATAAATATTTCCATTGGCACATGTAATTTTAACATGATTATCTGTATCCCATGAAATATTTTCAACAAATTGTTCAAATAAAATCCAACTTTGTGGTATTTGGGAACATAAATAACGAATTAATGTTGAATAACCAGATGGAAATTCCATATCGGGACCTTTTGGTCGTTGATATGAACCAAATTCTGAATAAGATACTTGTTCCATTGATTGACAACCACATTCACCTGTTTCTTGATCAAATCTATAGAAAAAAACAAACAATTAAAAGTTCAATTATGATTAATGTTTTGTTTTGAATCTTTACCTTCGTTGAAGTAATTTAAGTTTTAATGAACGTGTTGCATTATCTCCACCATTTGAATTTAAAAAATTTTGAAATTTTTCCAGAAAAACTTTGTGTATACTTATTGATGATATTTGTGTATTATTTTTTTGTTGAAATTCAAATAAATCTCTTGTATCTTGTAATAAACTTTCAAAAAATTGATCAACTTCATTATGTAATTCGCTTGATATTTGTAAACCATTTTCATCAACACATGTACCAATATCAAAATTAAGTATTGTACCTGTATGTTGTGGAAATTTTTCACGTACAGCTAATTCATATACTGGATTATCTTGTAAACCATGCATCCAACATGCACCCATTTCAAGTGGTTTTGATAAATCTTCATCTAAGTATTCGGTGAGGATGCGACCACCGATACGTTTTGAACCTTCAAGAATTAAAACAGATTTAAAATTGGATTTGTGTCATTGATATGCAGCAGATAGACCGGCTATTCCAGAACCAATGACTATTGTTTGATGATATTGAGAAATCTATATGAAAAACGAAATATTAGTAATTAGTGAACAATAGAAATCAATATTTTAATTAATTACCTGATTTGGATCGACTATTGACATGTTCTGAGGTCAACGAAGTATTAGAAGTACGAAGAAGAACCGCCACGTCTATATTTTTTCTTAATTAGACTTCTCTGTCTAAAAGGAGAATCAGTGAGTGTACTATGTTTTGATAATGAATTTCTTCATTAATACTTAGCCTTTATATACGCTTCTCTTTTCTCCTTTCAGCGCATATTCGAGAAAAGATAGAAAATAAGAGAAAAAGAGAGATTAACCTCGACATGCAAGCGTCAGGTGATTTCTTCCATACGGAGAAAATAATGATGATATTAGCAAAAACATATTTTTCTCGAGGGAGAAGATGTGTATTGACTTATCATTAAGTCAATATTTGAATATTTTATTTTTCAAATCAATTTTCATTTACGAACATGGAAAAAAAGAGAGAGAGAGAGAGAAGACGAAGGGCACGTGATGAAATTACATATGTAATATATTCATTGAAGAACGATACTTTTTATTTCATATTCTTCTATCTGGAAGTAATTTCGAAACGATAATAGTCTGGCAAAGAAAAGAAAAAAGAGAATCACATGATGGCATTTTTTTATTTTCTTTACTTATATAAGAGATTCAAGGTCATATTCTTTCCTTGAACGCAAAAACAAGAACGGAAAACTATCTTCACGAATATCATGGAATCTCATCTATAGATGACACTAACAATCAGTCTTATTTTATAATTATTTTAATAGAAATAAAAATTGAATTTTTAATAAAGTTATTTTTATTTTTTATACTTTTCTATTTGTCTTAATGAAATGATTCAATTACTTAATATAAATTTGACAATAGACAAAGAATAGATGTCACTAATTATATTAAACAAAGATGATAAACGTACAGATATATTGCATTCATTTCTATCAAGAATATTTTCTAAGTAATTGTTGAAACGAAAACGATATGACAGATCTTGATAACACGCAAATAATTACAGGCGATGATAGTCTTTTACAAAATTCATCAACAATTGAATCAGTATGTTTTATTATTATTTCAAAAAAAGCATGCAAATATCTTTTTTTTTTATCTTATAAAGGAAGCTTCACTAAAAATTGTTAGTGGTGCTGATTCAAATATATATCAAATCGGAAGTATGTATTTTTTTTCTTATTCTTTATCATTAAATTGATAGATGATTGTCTTTTAATAGAAGAAACAATTATTGGTCGAGCAAATCCATCGGACTTAATTATTTCTGCTCCAGTAAAATATGTTTTTTCTTAATGTCAAAATTTTATTTTTTTTTTTTTAATTTTTAGTCACTTTCAAAACAACATGCAAAAATAACTGTTAACAATGGACAATATTTCATTACCGATCTCGGCAGTAGTAATAAAACTTTCCATAACAAAGTAAATAGAAAAAAAAAAAATTTGTTTTAAATTGAAATTTTTGCTTCCTGTTTTTTTGTTTTAGATTCAACTTCAACCAAACGTTTGTTATGCATTACATGATGGTGATGAAATAAAATTAGGTGATATTATTTGTTTATTTCAAGAACAACAAACACCAACGAATAAAAATGTAAGTATTATTGGTTTTTTTCATTTATCATGTTTAGTTCAAAAGTTTATAAAACTTATTGAAGACACTTTCTGAACCAACATATGAAACTTATATACCACCACTGAATACCTTAGTTGAAGAGGATTCATCATGGCCTTCGGACGATGATATACCGCCACTGGTATGTCCATGTGTGTCTGTCTAGTATCTGTCGATTTCATACTTAGCTTGTTATTTTCAATTCATAAATATTATATACAACTTTTTTTAATATTGTTTTTTTATTTTAGGTTATTACAGAAACACATGTTGATGTGATTCGTAAGGAAATTTCAATTTAATATATTCAATCATTATTTAATTTTTCTGTTTTTAAGCATCAACACAAACAATACACGATTCATATGACGATCAAGAACCAACACAACCAATGAAAATTTGGAATGGAAGTCCTAATAATACAAATGGTAAATATCGAAATTAAGAAAACTAATATCTATCAATTAACAAATCTTGTTCGTTTGTTTTTTCTTTTAGGTCTTACTCGAACAAGTATAAAAAGTATAAATTCAAATAATTTATTTCTTTTTAATTTAATAATTACTTTTCATTAGATTCTGATGATGATATATTAAAACAAAATGGTTTAAATGAATCATCATCAACTAAATCTTCATCATTTATTCCATCAACATTATCATCAATATTAAATAATGATAATGATGATGATGATGATAGTTTGGTTATTGGTGCAACAACATTACCAGCAACTGTACCATTCGTTATTGAATCAACACAAATAAATAATAATGATCAAATTGAAATTATTTCCTCATCACGAACCGAACAAATTATTAAAGATGATAATAATCAAATAACTATTGAAACAACAACACAAATTGAAATTGATAAAACTCAATCATACGCATTTGAACCACCTACTGAAACTATTTCTTCGAATGAACAAATTGTAACTGATGTCACTGAAACAAAACGTAAAGAAGTTCATCAAGTTGTTATAGATGATGATAAAATGATCGAAGAAATTGTTACAACAACAACAACAACAACAACGACAACCACAACAACAGATTTATGTGAAAATGATGATCTGCGAATGGTAACACAAGCTTATGATCTTCAATCAGCAAATGAAGAAACTACTGCAGTTGTTGCTGAAAATGAAAATGTTCCAGTAGAAACACAAGCTTACGATCTTCAACCGACAAATGAAGAAATAACGAAAACATCTACTATTGAAGATAATAAACCAGCAGTAGATACTATTCAACCAACAAATGAAGAAATTACTACAAATCTTAGTGAAAATGAAAATCTTCCAATGGAAACACAAGCTTATGATCTTGAACCGACAAATGATGAAACTACTAAAACATCTACTATTGAAAAGAATAACCTACCAATGGAAACATTAGCTTATGATCTTGAGTCAACAAATGAAGAAGCTCCTGCAGTTCTTACTGAAAATGAAAATCTTCCAATAGAAACACAAGCTTATGATCTTGAACCAACAAATGAAGAAGTTACAAAACCATCTACTATTGAAATCCAAAAGCCACCAATGGAAACATTAGCTTATGATCTTCAATCAGCAAATGAAGAAACTACTACAGTTCTTAATGAAAATGAAAACCTTCCAGTAGAAACACAAGCTTATGATCTTGAACCAGCAAATGAAGAAGTTAGAAAACCATCTACTATTGAAATCCAAAATCCACCAATGGAAACATTAGCTTATGATCTTCAGCCAGCAAATGAAGAAACTACTACAGTTCTTAATGAAAATGAAAATCTTCCAGTAGAAACACAAGCTTATGATCTTGAACCAACAAATGAAGAACTTACGAAAACATCTACTACTGAAGATAAATTGGTAGAAACTATTCAACCTTCAGATGAAGAAATTTCTAAACCAACAACTATTGAAGATAATAATCCACCAGTCGATAATATTCAACCGTCAAATGAACAAATTAATATAGATACAACTGCACCTGCTCTATGTACTGATGCACAACAATATAATGTTGATGAACAAATCGATGATTCATCACCAAGACCAAGATCGGAAACATGTGGAGTTGTAACAATGTCAACATTAGTTGAGCAACTTTCACATGTCGATAATACTGTTGATGATACAATGCCTAAACAACAAATTGAAGTTACTATTGATCAAAATCTTGTTAAAGAAAGTACTGAAGATGAACAAATGGATACCAATGAAACAGGTAAAAATTATTTAAAAAGGAAAAAAGAAATATAATCCAATCTCTCTAATGCGAGTACCATGGAGATCAATGAAAACTAATTTCGCTATACAGAGATGCTCATTACTGGAAAATTTTTCAGTTTCTTTTTCTTCGTTTTAACAATTTAAGTAAATCAGCATGTATTCATATCACTAGTTGTTAGCACAAAAAAATAAGGAAATATTATGTCAAATATAGTGACTAATATTGTTTGTTTTTATCTTTCGTTTATGTACGGGGAGTGGACCACCCTTTTCCTATGTACTCCATAATTGTATATTGTAATGTAATATACATAACATTGGTATTATTTTTGCTCATCCTACACGTAAATGAGAGGACTTGTCACTCACATTAGAGAGGTTGTTATTCACTCATGTGACCATATAAGTACCTATTAGTCATAATAATAATGTGTGCTCATCCGTAAAGAAATTCGCTTGGATAAACTGTAGACTGTCGAGCAAAGGCGCATCCAAAAAATATTTGAAGGTCATGGTAAATGCAAATAAATTATTGATGATTTTTTAATATCAACTGTTCAACTTCATCCTAAGATCTATGGAAACAAAAAAGAACTCATAGAAGAAATAGTACTTTGCTGTTTTTGAGATTTGGTCAATGACTTGTTCGATATCAATGTGAATCATGGAATGTATATACATCATAGCTAGTGTCCATTCAGATGATTTTCATCCATAATATTTTGAAGATATGGTTTTATCAGCTTTCATGTTGAAAAAATTTTGCTCGCCTGTGACTGTTGTCATTGATAACGTTGCATGAATTTAACTTACCAATCATCGACAGAATGAATACCAATGAACTGTTAACAGTAACAAACACTCATAAACTTTGTCATAAGAATAGAAGGCATATCTAACAAAAGAAAGAATATTTGATATAAGCAATAACACTACATCGAACATTTATATTTATATATTAATCAAAATTAAAATTTCTTTTCTGGATGAATAGGAAAAGTTGAAGAAAGACAGACAAATAAGATAGTAAGGAATTTATTTTGTATTTCACAAAATTTGTAAAAACATTATATGAAGATGCAGGCGAAATAGGGACGTCACCTTCGTCCATATTCAAAACCACGGCATTAGAATTTGGTTTCAAATGACTCAAACCTCAAAGAGTTTGATAAGATAAGATAACAGCGATCTACTTTACTAGAGGTGCAGCACAATCAAAACGAGATTCTGGGACTTGGAACGAAATTCTCAGTATTTGTATTTAGTCTTGAACAAAAATAATATAAATAGTTTGGGTATCGATAACGATCATCAAACTATTTATTGAGGTTTGGCCTACACTCAAACCCATTCTCAGGATGCACATGCAAATAGTAAGAAATACTGTCTATTTGTCTCTATAAATCTCATAGAAATGCAAAGATGCCTAAGGTATAGCATACATAAATTTTAATGGCAGAGACTACGATCACCTCCGCTATCTAACATACGAATGTGCTTACATTGGAAAATTCTTTACGGTATTTATATTTTAATAGAACTTCCATCAATAACCATTAATGATGAACCAATAATAACGACCACAGACGCTAAATCAGAAACAACAGCAATTGATGAACAACAAGAAAGTGTCAATAAAAAAGAAGATGAAATTATATCAACAACCACTACAGATACAAAGCCAAATAATACAACAGATCATACTGATACGAAAGTTCAACCAACAACTATGGTAAAACAATTATTAAATATCGATTAATTAGATATATATATATATATATATATCATTTTCGTAATAATAGGAACCAGAAAAAACATTGGATACATCTTTAACCACTACTCCAATTGAATCAGAACAAAAAATAAATGAATCAATTCGTACGTTTCTTCTTTAGTAAACAAAAGAGAAAACTCTATGATTTTATTCTTTTCTTTTTACAGCTACTTCTATATCTGAAGACGTACCGTCATCAAAGCTTGATACAACTGACAAACAACAAGAAGAAATTGAAGGAGATGGAGAAGATGAAGAAGAAGGAGGAGACGAAACTGAAGAATCCGCGCCTGTTTCAGGTCGTAATCAACGTGGCATTCCTCGACGAGCAGCTCGTCGTGCGCGCGGTCGTCGTGGTGGTGCAACACGAGCTCGTGTTGTTAGTACACGTATACATGGCGGACGTCGTAATCCAATTTTATCATCAACAACTGATAATCAAAATACTAATACATCATTAGAAGAAACAGTAAATACTGAAACAGAAGAATCACCACAAAAATCTTCAACAATTGAAATTGAACAAAAATTAAATGACACACAACCAATAACTCCAACGCCAACTGATGAAACTTCATCACCTAACCAAACAAATGCTAACTCAAATATTCGAGTTTCAGGTAAGAAAAAGAAAAAATATAATCATATAAAATTTATTCTTTTTCTTTGCTTCTCAAATAGCTCGAATCAAAGCTCGTGCATCAAGTGGTCGAAATCGTCCATTTCCATATACTGATGATTATATTGATTTAGATGATTTTGAAAAACAATCGAAAACTCCTATTACACCACCAACAACAACCACGGCAGGTCGTCGATCAACTCGCGGTGCACGTAGTTCATCAACATCGCAAAAACGTATTAGTCTTCGACAACAACCAATCGATACATCAGAAAGTCCAGAGGAAAAAACTAAAAAACAAAAAGATAATACTGATATTTACGAACAAATGGATACTGGTGGTGAAAATGAAGAACCAACTTTATTAACAAAAACCGCTGGACGAAAACGTAAAAGTACAACACCTGTTGCATCGACTACTACAAAACGAACGTATGTATAGCTAAGCGCCTGACTTTGGTCTCGGTCAGATCCAAAAAATTTGAACTCTTAGGACGATCATATATTTGAAAGAGTGTGTAAAGCTGCAAAACCCATTATTTTTGCAAACAGCACGGATAGAAGAATTGTAATTATCTGATTAATCTGTCATAATGAGTAACTTTTAGTCTTCTACGATCTGTTATTCTTTTAAAAAGACTAGCATGCTATCGTTTTTTCAAGATGATCAGTATAACAAATATCAAACAACAATTTTGATGAATTTTTATTTAATGAGTGTATTGATCCTAAAGTTGGGAATGCGAAATTTGTTAAGATTTGGCTGATCAAGACAGCTTGGGGTATAATTAGGGAAAAGTTTTAGAGGAGAAAGATTTGAAAATGAATCAGAATTGAAAAATCGAGTAGTGTGGTAAGTAGAGACCTGCGGAGTCAACTTTTTTCATTCCGAAACCCGACTCCGACTCCGAAAAATTTCTTTCTTCCGACTCCGACTCCGATTCCGAAATCTTTCTTTTTATGACTCCGATTCCAACTCCGATTCCGAAAATTTTTATTTTTTGACTCCGATTCCGACTCCGGAAAACTCCGAAATTTTTTAACAATGTCATTTAAAAATAAAACGTTCTCAGCAGCCAAAGGACTCTTTAATGACTTAACATGCGCACGTTTTACACTAAAAATCTCAAGTTTCTCTTTAAAAAAAACCAGTTTATGGATGTTATCATCTTCAAAGTCGCTTTTTCCCCTCAAAAAAACCTTTTTGAATGTGTAAAAAATCCACAGTTTTGCTCCTAAAAACGCGTTTCTGTTACTGATTTTACCGGCCTTGGATGTTCTTCGTCTAAACAAGGAAGAACTAATGATGAAGATAGTCGTAGTACTTTGAATGACATTAATATATCTTTTTTGACTAATGTTGTTATGTTTTCATCTCACTTGATCATTCGAGTGTTATAACTGGAAAGTGATTCGCTCATCTTTCTGTCCTACAAGTGATATAAATCTATGTGACAGATATTACGCTTTATTTTTCTATTTACTAATGTTAAAAATTAAGTTTGGGTAAATCGAAAAAAAATATCGGAGTCGAACTTGTAACTGACTCCGACTCCGAACCCGAAAAATTTTTTTCAGCAAACCCGACTCCGACTCCGACTCCGTCGGAGTCGGAATCGGGTTTCGGAGTCCTCCGCAGGTCTCTAGTGGTAAGGGAAAACTCGCCGAGTCAAGAGAAACAAATAAAAAGATCAAGATGAAGAATAGATAAATAAAAATAGATGCACATTTTTTATTGAACATTCTTGAAGAAATAGCGGAAAAATTCTTTCAGGTCTACAATAGATTAGATGTTGTAAATATCAGCGTATTCTACTTAAAAAGTAATCAGTAGGCACAAAAAGTGCCCCTACCAGGTTAAAATTCCCTAAACTTTAATCTTTTAGTCTCGTACTTTGATCACAAGTAGAGCATGTTAAACTCTGATCGATGAAAATCTTACAGCTCAGCGTGGTCTCTATTCTCAATAAAGTTTTCATGTCAAACAGTATTGGTTTGTCTGATATGAACTATTTTTTAGGTAATCTTCACATGAGAGTTGATAGGAATCGTCGACAAGTGACCAATGTCTCTGGAAAAGTTCAACGATTATCCTTGACATTTTTTCTGATGAATGTCCTGCTCTAATTAAGTTTTGTTGAAAACATCAAGATCGCCGCCATTAATGGAGAAGGGATCCATGCTAAGACCAACGATTCCTTGCGCCTTTAGATTATGGTAGATTGGACCATCCTATCAGTGAAGCAATATAGACACGCAAATCTTTATTTGTTAATATGAAAATGAAGTTTAATGCATTTAAATACTAGAAAAGTAGGAAAATGTCAAAAATCTCCTTTCTTAACCCTAGGAAAAAATATCAGTGTTTTTATTATAAATCCTTTGCATTAAGGCCTATCTACTTTGGGTTGCTGCTTACAATCAGGATTTACTGAGTTTTTTTTGTAGTCAAAATATTATGCAAAAGGATTGAAGTTAATGATCAAGACTTCTTGCAATTACTGTATAAGAAAAAAAATCACTTGAGGAAAATCAAAACTTATTAAAACCCTTTTAAATGACCATTCTTCAAGGTTTTCAATTTATCATACTTTTTCAAACCAAAAACAAATCTATAGAGTAAGAGCGCACAGAGAACCTTGAATTCTCAAATAACCTATGCTTGGCTTTTGTTTGTTGAATATCATTGGACAACGTCAGGATATAGGGCTCAGAAATTTATATGATTTGAATGCACTAGGTCCAAGATTGATTTCTTTGTAAGCTAAAAACAATGTTTTTAATATTTGGAAACATGAATTTGTTTTTCTCTAGTCGTTCAACAACAACACCACAAACAACACAAACAACACCCGCAACGAATACACGTCGTAAACAAACTTCTAATACAGATCAATCATCTCCACCTACTCCAGTTACACCAAAACGTGGTCGAAGATCAATAAAATCAACTACACCAACTGAACAATCACCAGAAGAACAAATTTCAACTAATGATCGACCAGTTCGAATAGCTCTTAGTAGTCATTTGGTAAAAATTCATTCGTTTTTTTCTTTTTAATCTCTTGTGTTATTTCTTTTAGAATTTTGATCAAAATCATTTAGATACATTACGTAAATTAGGTTTTGAAATCATGGATGAATCATGTCAAGTTGATGCATTAGTTGTTGATCGTATAAGACGTACAAAAAAATTCTTTATGTGTCTTGCACGTGGTGCACATATATTATCACCAACATGGATTGAAACAATGATAAAAGAAAATCGTTATATACCGTATGAAAAATATTATTTAGAAGATACAAATGCTGAAACACGTTATGGTTTTCAATTACGTGAAAGTGTTCGTTTAGCTAAACAACATCCTATATTTGAAAATTATAAAATTTTTTGTACAAAAGATACATCACCACCATATGATGATTTAAAAGATATAATTGAAGCAGCTGGTGGAAAATTTATTGAAAAAATTAATTTAAATAAACCAGGAAAAGATTTAGTTTGTATTGTTGCACAAGCCCATAAAACTGAATATGAAGATTTATGTAAAAAAGGTGTACCTATTGTAAGTGAAGAATTTGCTTTAAGTGGAATATCAAAACAAAAACTTGATTTTGAAGCGTAAGTTAATTTAATTAAAAACTAAATACAATAAAAAAAAAACTATGTGTTTTTTTTTTTTGAAATAGATTTTCTTTATTTCAAAATGTTGCTACGACAGTTAAACCAACTGGAAGTAAATAATGTTTAACTTTATTATCGCATTTGTATATAATCTTTATGATGTTATTAACATTTATTTTTTTGTTTGTTAGAGAAAAAAAAGCAAGAAAATATTATATTCTATTAATGTGCTTGTGTGTTATATCATTTTGTCTCTTGTATACTGTCTAACATATCTATGATTAGGTTCATCGATAAAGAAGACTTTTTTTTCTTTGTCACATTTATTTGTCATATGTGTTCTTTTTTTTTGTTTGCAACATCATAAAAAGAAGAGTAAATGAGCGAAAGAAAAAGAAAAACAAAAGGTGTTCTATTCTATATATATAAATAAATGATGAATATCAAAAAAGACTATCTGTTATCATAAAAAAATTTTTCATTTATCACTTTCTTTTTCTATATATATATATTTTTCTTTTTTGGTAGAAGTACTTGAGATACAAGATGGAAACTTTACCGGTTGAAGTAAGTTGAAATGAACATCATATTTTTCGAATATTTTCATTTACATTTAAAAGATCTTTGATCTCATCTTGGCTCATTTAACATTAACTGATTGGAAATGTTTACGTTTAACAAGTCGAGCAATTTATACACGACTTTCATCATTTTCATCTTATGCTCATATACATTCAATAATTCTTTCACCAAAATCATTATCTGGTATAACACTGCTTGATAAAACTACATTAATCGAAGGTATTGATCATCTATCATTATCAAATTGTAATTATGCTGAAATAAAAACACTTCTTCATACATCTGAATCATTTTGTTCATGTTTTAATCAATTAAAAAGTTTATCATTTGCACGTTCTACAACATTAATTGATTTACGTATGTTTTATGAATTACTTTCATATTGTAAATCATTAGAAAAACTTGATTTAAGTTATTATAAATTCTTTTTTTTATCACATAATTTTTCACAAAATTCAAATATATATCCTTCAATAAAACGACTTAATTTAAATGGTAATACACATCTATCAGATTATGCATTTAATTGTTTAATGACATCATTTCCAAATATTGAATCATTGCATTTACTCGATATACCATTACGTTCATTTATAAATTCTAATGAAAGTCGTACAGTTCTTACATTTGAGAATATTTGTTCATATATTCAAAAATATCATGAACGTATTCAAGAATTAACTATATCATTTGATTCATCACTATCATGTGATACACAATTGAAACGTTTATTTATTAAAATACCAACAAAATTAACTTATTTTCATATTGATGGAACTTTAAATGTATCAACTTTACTTCATTTTCTTCTTCTTTTTGATAATCATTTAAAAATATTAATTGTTGGACGTCTTAAACTTGATCATACTGGTTGTCAACCATTATTTGCTGCACTTTGTCAATATGCATCTAATTTAAAAAAATTATGTGTATTTTTAAATATACCAATGCATTTTTCTGCAACTCAACAACAAAAAATACGTTTTCCAGGTACTTAAATATAAAAAAAAAAAAAAAAAAACAAAAAATGATTATTTTAAAATATTTTGCAATTTGTTAATTTCATATGAATAGAAGCCCCGCAAAGTTTGAGTCAAAACGAAAGCTATTTACATTTTGAAGAAACATCTACTTTGGGCTGTATTTCAAAAGAAGAATATTTTTATGGCAATCTTATATCACTATAATATAGTGATATAAGATTGCCATATGTATCCTTAAAGGATACATTTGTTCCAGCTCAAATTTTGAAGAATTTCTTTTAAAAATTTGATCATCCACATTTTTCAGTGATTCTATACTTATCGAGTGAAAATCGAATCAAAAGTTCATAATTCGACAGATGAAGACCAGAAAACTAAACAATAACAAACTTTTTCATTATTTATCATGACTAATTGAACGACACTAGTCTTAAGTGAAGAGCTCTTGGGTCATTAGGCAGATTACCTAGTGAATCATATAGCTAATATTTCTCTTTCGAGAAAAACGTTTTTATTCTTCAAAATTCAGTAATCTATATACAAACATTGAAGTAGCAACAGTTGAGGCTAAGAAAGAAAAGAGTTACATCTTTAATATTAACTAACAAAAGAAATTTCTAGGCACATGCTAATAGTCAAAATTACTCGGCAAAAAGAACTATTATCCTATAGCAGACATGCTATCAAACAATTGAAGTATCATTATGAATATAAATGCCTTGTGGCTATGTGCAGTTAGTTTCTTATTGAAATCAATAATAATACTACGAAATAGTATTGTTTATTTTTCTTAACGTATAACTTTGTTTTCTTTCCTGGAAGTGATTCTTCCTTCACTCTTCATTTATTTGATTCTCTCTACTAAATTGATCAATATTTATATACGCTATGAGTATAATTTATGAAGATGTATATTAAAACTACACATTTTTATTAATTTTCTATCTTTTTCTTTTTAGTTTTAAATCAATCATCAGATATATCATTGTCATCATTAAAGCAATTGAACGATCTGGATATACAAACATTATATCCATTAAATGAAAATGATCTTATAAATTTATTTAGTAATAGTTTAGCACAGTTAGAAAAATTAGCTTTACCAAGAAATACAACTGATGATGTTATTAAACATATATGTACACAATCATCATTTGTTTTATCAATAACACATTTAAATTTAAGTAATTGTCCATCATTATCAAATCGTTCAATATTATTAATAAATAAATATCTTTCATCATTAAAAGAATTAACAATAAATTATAATATAAATATAAATGATTTTGCATTAATTGGTTTATCAATATGTGGTATTGGTAAAACAATTGAATGGCTTAGTCAAACAATGATAAATCGACAATTTATTGATGATTTACCAATATGGACATGTACAATAACACATCAAACATTATGTAAATGTCAATTACCAACATATATATCATCATCATGTATTAAACTTCGTTTAAAAGATTTTAGTTTTGATAATGATGAATATTTGGAACGAATATTATTTATGTTAACTGAACATAAATTATTTAATGAATATTTTTATTCAATAAATAAATTACAAAATTTAAGATCTCTTAAATTACGTCAATGTGCACAATTAACAAATCGTTTATTTCGTTTTGGTTTACGTTCATTACCAAATTTAAAATATTTAGACATAAGTTCATGTGATAAAATTAATGATAAAAATTTATCATTGATTGGTCAAGCTTGTCCATCAATTGAAATAATTGATTTAAGTGGTTGTCATAAAATAACTGAAAAAGGAAAAGAAAATTTAAAAAATATTGCTAAAAGAGTAAAAATTGTAGATTTTTGATTATATTATTGTTTTTTTTTCGTCTTTGTTTTAAATTAAGTATTTTATTATTATTTTTTTGTCGTTAGTCTGAGTTAAATATTGTATTTATTTATTTATTTATTTATTTATTTATTCTTCAATTTTCTTTCTTTACAAAAAAAAGAAGAATGTAAAAGCTTTTGGTTTATTCTTGCTATTTTAGAAGAAAAAGAAACAAGTGTTTTTTTCTAAATTAAACATAAATATGGTGAAAGTAATGATAAGTAATGTGAGTGTTCATAATAATCCGGCGAAATTCTTATCGAATTATACGTTTGAAATTAAATTTGAATGTTTAGAACAATTAACACAAGGTAGGTTATTGTTTATTTATTTTTTATTATAAAAATAAACAAAACACACACACACACACATTTATTCGTAGAACTTGAATTTAAACTTGTTTATGTTGGTGATGCAAAAGAAGATAAACAAGATCAAGTACTTGATGTTGTTGTTATTGATGCTGTAGCTCCGGGAACCTATAAATTTGTATTTGAAGTATGTTTAGTATATTTTTATTTAATAATCCTTTTCATGATTTGCTTGTTGGTCATGAATCTGTATAAAAGAAATGACTATAGTAACTTATTTGTTGCTAAGATATGTTAGCAAGACGATAGAGAAAGAGAAATGGAAAAAAAGGAACCGCTCTTAGCAACAAATATGCTAGTAGATGGTCACTTCTTAAATATTTGTTTATGGCTAACAAGCAAGCCAAAAATAAGGTTTATTTATCTTTGTTTTTCTTTTCGAACCATAGGCTCCACCACCAGATCCAAAAAAATTACCAAATGATAGTGATGTTGATGTATCAGTTATTCTTCTTTTGGCATTATATCGTAATCAAGAATTTGCTCGTGTAGGATATTATGTATTTACTGAATATGATGATCCAGAATTACGAGAAAATCCACCAGTTAAAGTTGATTTCGAAAAAGTAAAAAATTTTTATAATTATCTATGAAAGATTTCATATGATCTATTTTCTTTTTTTTCTCTTTCTAGTTAAATCGAAATATTGCAGTTGATGAACCTCGAGTAACAACATTTCCAATAATATGGGATGAACAACAACCAACTGATCAACTTGTCTTTGCTGAATTATCTGAAGAAGAAAAGAAAATGGCTGAAATGAACGATGAACTTGAAATATGTCATAGTTTAGAAAATGTTAATTGTAGTAATGAAACACCAAGTGAGCCAACTGATACGAAAGTTACAAACGAACCAATGATGTTAACTGAATCAACAGAGCCAAAAACAATAAATGAACCAATTATTCCAATTGAACCATCAAACTCAATGAATTTATAGAGCATTAAAAAGAAATTTGATAATAATAGTTTATTTTTTCTTGCTAATCTATATTGATATTTCTCTGTTTGTATATTATGTAAAGTTCTTCTTACTGTTATTTTTTGAATAATTTGATTGTTAACATCATATAATAACAGAAGATTAGTAGACAAGAAAACAACTTCCAACTTTTCAAACATCTATTCCAGATAAATGTTGTGTATAAAATATTTACGAGTATCATCGATTTCTACGATTGCTCTTCGTCATTATGCTGTAACGAAAACTGCTACAGGGCCAACGGGTGCTGCATTAAAACTTGGTGGCGGTGTAGCTAGTATGCGAATAAATTGTTTGATTTAATAATATTTATTATATTTTATTGATAGAAAAGGGTGCTGTAATAACAACAACAATTCAACAATATATTGACGCTGAAACGGATCCTGAAAAATTAGTTAAATATTGTTGTGGTCTTAATTATAAAAAGGATCAAGAACCTATAGAAATAAAAGCTGTTTCAGCTTATCCAGATTGGTTATTTGGATTAGAAAAATTAGATAAAATTGACATTGATCAACTTGATAAAGATACATGGGAATATTGGACAAGATATAATGAACAAGGTGATGAATATCTTCGAATTATAAATGAAAAACGTTTTCCTGAACGATATATCCCAACTTGGTTAAAAGAATTAAGACCGTTACATTAGAGTAAATAGAAAACAAATATAGTTGTAATTTTTTGTTGAATTGCTTTAATAAAGATAAACACATACACACACATATATATTTTTATGTACAATGCATATCACAGAGGTGCGCTGCTTTGATGGCTTTTGCTCGAACATATTTCAAACAATACAACAAACATGAAAAATGAAAAACAAAAATGAAAACACCAAACAATTGAAAATGAAAAAAAAGAAAGTTCCATCGAAATTGATGTTAATCCATATATTGTCACGATCAATTTCGCTTAATGGACGGAATAATGGCGAGAAACTTGTATTTAATATAACGATATCATTATTGGATTAAAATTAGAGACAACAAATAAGTACCACGATGACAAAATAAAATAAAGATAAATTATATCATTTATTTCCTCTATGAAAGAGGAAGAAGTGATGGCTTATACTACATAGTACAATCTAAAATAAAAGTACATTGAAAAAAAAAAGGGAAACTGTAAGGTTGAATTTTTCTTTTTTTTTTGTTAGCTTCTCTTTTTCTTTTTTCATAAAGAAAATTTGACGATGAGGAAATAATTCAACTTAATGTGAAATAGGAGAGGTTTTTTTAGTAAAGAAAAGAAGAAAAAGAGTGACACTTATCATAAGCAGCTCTTATGTAAATTGCTTATCGTATTCTTAGGTAATATCATACGATGAAACAAGGTTTACCTTGCTATCTTTATCACAGTCCAACGTTTTGTAACTCAGTCGGAAATATGCTTTGTTAGTTTGTCATCAAAGCGTTTTATTATAATCTTCTTTGCAACAACTTACCGTTAACAAACTAAGAAAAACAAGAGAGAGAAAGAGAGAGAAAGAGAAAGAGAAAAGAATAGAATGATGATTGTTCTGCCGGAACAAGTTATATTGTGTGTGTATATGTATGTTTTATATGTGCTTCTTCAAATAGAAACTGATTCCTTGTGACACGACAAGACGGTGCTAAGCAACTTTGTTCGTGGGCAGCTAGGAGAACGATGACGGCGACAACGATAAAGTGTTTGAAAAAGGAACACTTGTAACTTTCTTTATTCACTCTTTTATTCTCTCATTTTTTTTCTTTTTTTGTTGTCTTGAAGATTTCAAATCTTTCTCTCTCGTTTTCTCCCTTTCTCTTGTGTAGGACGTAGTAAAATTTCATAATGTAAATGTATGTGCTTGACGTAGAGAGAAAGACTTTGTTGAGTAATAATGAATTTTGCTTGCCTGTCGGACGTTTTTCTTTTTAAAAAAAAGAAATACACGGTTGTCATATAAAGAAAAAGTGAGGACAATAATTGTGATAGAGAAAGAGAGGTAGCATAAATTTTTTTTCTCTTTTCTTTCAAACTCAAACAATATAAATGAATATAAAGTTAATGGTGAAATGAAGTCACATAAAACGGAACAGCACGTAGAAAATAGAGGAAGTAACAAATCGATCATATGCAAACTGAGAAAAAATACATGTATATATGATATTTCCGTGGAACCTGTTCTGTGGTTTCTTTTTACAATAAATTTGTAAAACGATCGATTCTCCTGTCTAGAAACAAATATAGAACTGTTTTCCTTTTTTCTCATTAACTATGTGTCAGACAAAGACTAAGAAATTTTCTAGAGTGATTATGCATCATGTCCATTGATCCGATTATAAAGACAATCATTTTTGATGATAGACTAATGGATTATGCTTTTCAAACGGCTTTTCCACAAAGCGAATCATGAGATCATCAATATTGCACATACCGTAAAAATCGATTATCACTAGTAAAGTGTTATCAATGCAATTTAAGTGATTAAAAAATTTAGGAAGCATAATGGTCACTTCCTGTTTCGTCTGCTGGGAAAGTCAATTGGATAAAGTACAACAGAAATACTTGTATTGTTTATCACTCCTTTACAATATTTGGTTTTGAATAATAATGTTAATAAAATGTAAGATATTTCATGGGATTTGCTTCGATTGAGAAATTATTATTATTATTAAATGACTTATTATTTGATTAAAGATATACAGTACTATGAAGATCGTTGCAACAACGCATTCAAAATAGATTAAATTACTTTGTGGAAGCTATTCACTATTTACATTACATTGACATAATGATCAATCATCATTGTTATAAGTTTGATGACGAATATTTTAGTTAATCTTTATTCCTTTATTTTCAACAAACATCAAAATCAATTGATCAAATATCATAGATATAGCACAACTATTGTAGTTTTTCTTAATAAATGATGCATAGAATTCTTTTTTAGAATTTATTATCTGATTTCAGTGAGCTATGCTTGGCACAAATACTGATACAATACATAGCGCCTTAAGAAAAAAAAACTTAATTGCACTCACCAACACCTAGTAAAGTATTCATTCAAGAACAATACGAATCCTTTCGCTTTTCTTTTACTCTCTTGATTCTGTCTGGTACCTGTGTGGTGTATATATGTATGTGTGTGTTAAGAATAACACTGTTCGTAGACAGATAAAGAATAAATAACTTCAGTTGTGGTAGTAACTTTCATTCTTGTATTTTGTTTAAACGCGAACGACTACTGTATTAGTAATACAATTCAAATGGAAAGCTTTACAGTAAAGACATGGAAAGCATCTGCTTACTACGATGTTACTAATGATAATAATCAAGTAAATTTGTTTTTTTTTTGCAATCAAAATATTTAACTATAGAAAGAAATAATCTTAGATAAAGTTTGTATAATTAAATTCTTTCGCGCTAAATTTATATCTTGTGTAGCATAAATCGAGTTGTTTTATATACAAAAAAAAATTTTATTGACATTTCTCGTTTTCTTATGTTATAAGTCAATATCATTATTCGTTGTTAAATATTTTGTCTATACTTAATAAAAATTAAAAAGTTTTCTCTCTCCATTTAATTATTAAATTTGGTTATGTCAAGTACACAACAAGAGAGTGTTGTTGATAATGCAATTACTCCATCACAATCACAAATACCACCAGAAAGTACAGTTGCCAATTCAACAGTTAATGTAGTTGGTGAATTGTCTAATCAGGTTTTTTTCACTTGCGAGCTTTCATTATTTTGCTATTTTCTTTTTCGTAAATATTTTGTTATAAATGACACTGCCTTATATATATGATCGTAAATCTGCCAGCTCCTTAGACCTAACTTTCAATACAATAGAAAGATAGAGTATAAAATTCTTCAGATTTCTGTGTACCTATTTTTGCTCTGTTGAATGCAAAACATTTTCGTGGACTAAGCAGTCTTTGGGGCTCTATCGGTTTTGGACGTTTTCCATAATATCTATGGTGATCATAATCTTTTTTTTTGTTTTGCAAACTCAACATGAAAATCAATAGTGTACATCGACGTAGTTTTTCATGTTCTAGAGAATGATAGTGATTAGGTTATATACGGTCGAAGATCGTTACCTATGTGACTATGTATAAACTAATCGATGAACATAATCGATGGGTCATTTTGTAGAGTATGAACAGACTACGTCAATCTACACTATTAGTTTTTCTATTGGGTTTATAAAATAGAAAAAAGATGGTTACCATAGTTATTATCGAAGGGACTCAAAACTGATAGAGATCCCCTTAGACTACTTAGACCTCGAAAATTCTTTTTTTGTTTTGAAGAAAACAAAAAATAAAAGGACAGAAACATACAAAATTCTATGCTTGATCTTTTTATCAGATTGAAAGTGAGATCTAAGGGGGGGGGGGGGGATGATAGATTTTGGATCCTATTCGGTGAGTATTTTTTTCATTGTAAAATAAGAATTATTATTTATGTAGAGATGGACATCATCATTACTTATGTCCGTCATTATTGTTGTACTATCTACTAGTTTTGTCATGGGAGTTAATATTGGTGGTCCAAATTTATATAACGGTGTATGTTACAATTTGATTTATTTTAAAATCATATTTTATTCTTTTTTCGTTTTTTTAAATATTTAGTTTATTGTTCCATGGACTCGTGGTCATCCATTTCCTTGTCAAAAAGAAGGTAGTACATCACAATGGATAGCACGTAAATGGTGGGATTGTGTTTATAATGATACAGCAAAAAATCTCAATGGTTATTATTATCTTCCCGATATATCAAAAAAAACTCTTATTGGTCAACGATTAAAAGATTCAATTCATAATGTTTTATTTGTTATTGGTGGTTTTATTGGTGCTTATTCAGGACAATATTGGTATAAATGTTTATCAAGGTTAGTCTTATCAATTAATTAAATAATATTTACAAAAATGAAAATAAATTTAGACGTAATGCTATTTTCGCCAGTATGCCATTTCAATTAGTGGCATCAATATTTATGATTATTACATTATATCTTTATCGTGGTTATGACACAGATGATCCAGATCAAACAACTATTCATAGAGCAACGAAAAATAAAGATGTAGCAATTAGTTTTTTTTATATTTCTCGATTTCTTTCTGGATTTTCTGCTGGTATATTTAATATACATATATATGTATCAATAATTGATTGGTTTATTTCTTATTTATTTTAGGCATGTGTTGTGTAGTATCAACATCTTATTTAAATGAAATAAGTCCTCGAGCACTTCGAGGTACTGTAGGTGCTTGTCATCAATTAGCAATTGTAATAGGTATTCTTTTTGGACAAATTATTGGTTTACCATGGATATTAGGACGACATAAGTAAGATTATAATTCATTATACAGTAGTGAATAGAAGTCTCACCAGAAGCAGATCTCAGCTTTCATACAGGACGACGGTCTGGAAATTTGCTTGCGCATATCCCACCAAGAATGTCAATCAGAGGCACAAGTTCGCTCCAATAGGTTAAATGCAACAAGAATTATAATGAGCGGCACCTATTTTTGTGCTCCCAGCTTTCTAACCTGAAAAAGCTGTCTAATAAATTTTGGATTACTTTTAAATCAAATAAATGACTAATTCTTGATATTTTTACTTGCAACTGAAGCCCAATATGTAGTTTTTCGTTGATGAAAAGATCATGTAATTTGCTACAAGATTGCTGTCTCCGAATATCTTTGAGCCTTCAACACCAACATAACCATTATGGACTACTAGAGCTCATCAATTTCACAATTTTTGGACTCAGATCCAGTTCGAGTTGAGTACGATTCTAGACCTTAAACAGCGAGTTCTAATCAACAGTGCCTATAGTAGTTGAGATCTGATGAACGAGAACTTTTATCCATTACTGTAAATTACAAAAAAATAGAACTTTTATATGTATTAAGTGCTTGGAATTGGGGTATGTCATGGGTTGGTTTATTATCGTTGATGGGTTCTATATTTATTTGGACATTGCCTGAAAGTCCTCGATGGCTTGTACAAGAACGAAAACAAAATGAAGCTGCACAATCATTACGTAAATTACGACAAAGTAATGATATTGAAGCTGAATTAGTTGAAATTGAAGAAGAAGAAACTGCATCAAATAAAAGAGATCTTGGAATTGGTAAAGTACTTTCATCAAATGAATTTCGATGGCCATTAATAACAAGTTTGGTATTAAATGCTATTCAACAATTATCAGGCATAAATGCTGTAGAAATGAATAATACATGTTTTCTTCTTTAAATGTATATATTTGAATATTTTATTTCAAAGGTATTCTTCTATTCGGGAGATATGTTTTCAGTAGCTGGTCTACGAGACGAAAAAGTATTTTGGGGTATATTAGCAACAGGTATTATTAATCTTATTGCAACAATTGTTGCTTTAAAATTAATTGAATTATTGGGTCGTCGTCCATTGATTATTTGGCCATTAGCTGGTATTATTATTGTTATGATTGGCCTTACAATATTGATTGTATTAAATGTAAATTTAAAAAACAAAATTAAAATAATTTTTTCAAATAGTTATATAAATTATGTGTCTTCTTTAGGCGAAAAATTCAGAAGATAAGAAAGAAGCATTGGCGATAGTTAGTATTATATTTATTCTCATTTTTATTATTCTATTTGCGATTGGTCTTGGGCCTATTCCTTTTGTATATTCAAATGAAGTATTTGCTGTTGAAGCACGTGCTGCTGGACTTTCATCAGCAATGTTTATCGTATGTATTATATTTATGAATACTATTAATGAAATATTATTTTTTTTTTAGAATTGGTTTTGCAACTTTTTAGTTACTTTACTTTTCTTACCACTTCAATCAGCAATCGAAGGTTATATATTTCTGGTGTTTTGTGTACTTGTGGCATTAGCATTCGTTCTACTTTTCTTTAAAGTAAGATTAATCATTGTTATATTTTTTTTTTCTTCGTATCAATGTAATGAAATTTACAACAATTTCTTTTTTCAGATGCCTGAAACAAAAAATAAGAAATTACAAGAAATTCAAGCATTCTGGAAATAAACATGATCAAAAGAAAAAACAATAAAAGTTTTTGTTTTTCCTTTCTCAGTACTCATCTGTAGACATTCCTTATTCTAATAAACATTCCTCTGCATGCTTTATTCTAGCAAAAAATTTTAATCTTTATTTCCCTGATAGAAATCTTTGGAATTATTATAATAAATTTTTGACGGAAATGAGACATCACCAAGTAAATCATAATGCTTCTATTTTTTTTTCCTGGATGAGTAGTAAAGAGTAAAAAACAGTAAATAATGAAAGGACAAATGACAACTCATCAGAATTCCGACAACATTTTTAACATCATCAAATGTTTGTTACGCTTCCCAAATCCATTACGCTATGTTAGTTAAAGCGCATCAATGATGGTTTACATAAAATACTTGTTGATAATAAGTGATACATTATGTCAGTCCATGAAATATTGACACATATGCATACAACTTGAAGATAAGTGACTGAGATTTGATTTAAAGAGCGTTACAGACTAAATATGTTAACATATTAAATAAAGTCCTTAGAAAGAATCAAGCTAAAGATGAATTAGTAAATTCATTCAATGGTTGATAGTTTTTGAGAGTTTTATGCTCGGTAATTTATATTACTATTTGTGAAACAAATCAAGTATTCAATTTCATCAAAAGATTATTTTTATTTATCATAGACATGTGCTATGATCTATATACATACAAAGTGTTTCATAAGTTTTGAGGCCTGATAAAAACTAGTTTATATGCAAACAAAGAACAATCTCAAACCAAATGCTTTCATATGAAGTTTGAGTGCTCGTAACAATCTTTCAAATGGGTGTATCATGAGAAAACATATTTTGTAATAGTAAAAATATAAACATGATAATGTTATAATAAATCTTTCAAAATCGACCAACATGAATTTTTTATTAAAATAAGATATTAATTTGATGAGACAAAAATGTGGTTTAACCATCATGTATCTGTTTTCCACCATTTTTTATCATTTTTGCAGAGCTTGTTAGTAATTTCATCGATCATTGTTTTTATAATCATCATAATTTATTCTTTTTCACTATTTATTCCCAATGCATTTTTACATGTTCAAAACTTGGAAATTCTTCCCCTCGTACCTTTTCCTTTAACATTTCTCATACATTCTCAATAGACCAGATGTCAGCAAATTTAGTATCACGTTCTTCTGGTAAAATTCGATGATTAAATAATTGATCAAAAAATCGTAATACAATGTTTGTTCGCTGTTTTGACTCTGTATCGTCTTGAAATATAAGATCTCTTCGACATACCTTTTGAATTTCTAGATGAGCAACTTTTTCAATAAATTTAGCGTATAATTGACCATTCATATAAGTTTTTTTTGTTTATCTGTTGGTTGTTTTTCAACCATAATATGGCATCAACTGGACTATTTTTGGAAATCAGCCCTTCACATGAAATACCATCTCAAAAAACAATACCATTTGCAAACTTGTTTTTTGGTTGACTACGGAATGTTGATGGTATTTCTTCAGCTCTTGTTGCCCAAATACCTTCATTGTGTGGATTTGAATGTAATTCTAAGGTGAACTTTCCCAAAAAAGCTGCACTAATACTTTTGTCGGACATCCATTTATTTGATCTTTTTGTAATACCAAATTTTCTTCTTAACTTCTTAGTAGGTTTAACACGTTGTACTTTGTTATCATATGTCAGCTTTTGTGTTCTTCTTTTTTTAAGCCGTTTCAATCCGGCTGATTTCACAACCCTGTAAACTAAAGATGCTGATGATTTATAACTAATTTTTGTTAAATATTGCTGAAACATTTCTAGCACTAGCTATGTTTTGGTTTTGAATTTTTTTTAATAATAAATTTCTATAAGATACAGTTGTAGTAGTTGATTGTCTACCAGATCTTTTTCTTTCACAAACTGTTATTCTTGCTAATAAATAATGAATTTTATTTACTAAAGTATGTTGAATTAAATTTGGTGGATTGTCTGATGGTTGGAGAAAATCTGCAATATCAGGTACAGTCCAACTAAGATTTTGACGATGTAATAATACTACAAGTAGTGAAAATAATTGTTTTTCTTGTTGTCGATCTTGTTTACGAGGCATATTATATTAACAATATATGGAAAATATCGAAAAGAATACTAAGTGGAAAAAATCAATTAGATAAAACAGAATTCAAAAAGCAAAAATTCAAAAATAACATTAATAGACATGTACTTTTCGATGTCTTAACCGAAACCAATAGTGAAACGAACAATTACACTTCATATGTAATATACGTTTTCAATAAGGAATGGATATGAATATTGTGGATGACAACTGAGCATATAGCGTCGTTAAATATGTGATCTATGCTCCATCATGAGCGTCGAATAAACGATTAAGATAACTAGTTCCTGTCTCTGACTTCATTGTTTTTTATGGAAAATAAACTTAGAACTTTGTTAGAAAATCTTTAAAAAATCGTGTTGGCCAATTTCAAAAAATTGATGATCACATTATCATGTTAATATTTTTACTATATTACAGGAGAAGATATAATACGCCATCTGAAAGATTGTCACGAGTACTCAAACTTCCTATAAAAACATTTGGTTTGAAATCGTTCTTTGTTTGCAAATAAGCTAGTTTTTATCAAGCCTCCAAACTTATCAAACATTCCGGATGTCTGATTCATTGATGACATAACTCTTTTTTTTCCGGTATATATATATTACAAATTTTAGATATTAGATTTTCATTTTATTTTGTAAAAGTTATCAACCAAATACGGAAATATGTTTTTTGTTTTGGTAGAATGATTGGTATTAATATTTCATATAAAACAATATCTTATGACAGTTACTTATGTGAGAAAAATTCTAAGGTAGCAAATAAAGAACGATAATATTCCAAGAAAATATCTATAAAAGTTCGCTCTCGACATGGAAAAACGTATTTATGAGAAAGATATATAGTTGTCCGAAGATTTTATTTGTCAACAGAAATTTTATAATTGAAATAAGATATATTATTATTCTTGTTTTCTAAACTAATATTAGTTACTTTAGTTATTTAGAAATAAATATTGTTCAGCAAAAATACGTCTATTGATTAGCAATGTATCACTGATAAAGAAAATAATTAATAGTACAATGCTGTTAGTAATATTGATTACATGAAATTACACATGGTAAAAAAGTCGATAATCGATGCATTTTTTTTTTCATTCAAGAGAAACAAGATACAAAAAAAAACAATCATATCTATTCATTTTAACCAATATCATTTTATGATAATTACCTTAGTTCATGTAGAAAAGTAAAACAATAATTGTTATTTATAGGGTGGAAAATCAAGTATATCGAAGAATGCACATCAATTTGAGTTTTAGATGATAAGTGACTATTAAAATATAAACTAAAGTTTCAATTTAATTTTAATTTCAATTGGTAAAAAATAGTTATCTGATGGTTTAAGAATATAGTAAAGACGAAACATTTAATACGCATATGCTTAAGATATTATTATCGTTGACAAATCTGTTCTAATGCTTTTATATGTTTCATGATATCACAATACATGAGTGTAATACAAATGCAAGCAAAGTCAATATTTTGGTATTATGAATAAATCTATGATTAAGATAAAGTAGTTATTATTTTAAATGCAACCATTGTGTCTTTCTAGACAAATAATGTATATTTGTTCAATCATCATTGTTAAACAAAAGACGATAAGATTTTATTTCATGATGATATCAGAACAATAGACTATTTGCACTTTTATTTAGGAAGAAAGGTAAAATATCTTATAAAGTTAAAACTTCAAATCACTTATTTATTGTGATGAAATGGTATATCAATAGAACCAATTAACGCTACCGTCTCTATAACAATAGTATCATTATATCTTATATTTATTCATCAATTGACAACTAATAAAAAAAGATCATGTTTTTTGTTCTTAAGATAACAAATCCATAACATCCAAATAAAATTCTATTAAATCTAATAAACAGTAATTGGATATTCATATTCCCTAAGACTGAATACATCAATCGAAAACTGAAAAGGCAAAAAAAATATGATGTGTGAAAAAAGTGCTGATAATTGGAAATATGTCATCTTCTATTGATTTTAATGTTTGCCTTGTATGTCCTCATATATCACACAGTCAATCTACAAGGTTTTAGAGCATATTTATATATATATATATATATATATATACACGTGTCTCGATCAAATTTGTTTTCAATCTAGAGATAAGCATCACCGTGGACATCAACTACAAATGACAGATGGCAATCATCGCTCATTTGATTGAAATAAAATATAGTGATAAGCACTGCATTTTTCATTTTTTTTTCTTTTTTGATAATTATTATAAAGGTAATTTTATATAACCTTTTAATTATTCTTTTTTCCTTTTATCTATGAAAAGAAATTTAGTCTATAAAAAAATTCTATTAATATTTGTATTTATTTTTCATGGCTTCATTCGTCCTTTAATAATCATTTAGCTCAAGAAGAGAATACGTAAAAAAGAAAGAGTCAGAACAAAGTAGAATAGTTAAATTGCGTGCTATGTCCTTTTGGCACTATAACTCTGCTTCATCGCTCTCTCTCTCTCTTCCCAACAGCAGGCTGTTCACCGTTTGACTCTTTTTTCTCTCTCTCTCTCTCACTTTTTTCTCTCTCTCTCTCACTTTTTTCTCTTTGTATACTTGTATATGTCGATTCCTTTTCACTTTTTAAGCATGCGTGTGTATGTGTAATATTAAACTCCTTTTCCACCACTAACCGTTTACCTATAGTCTCATAAAAAAGAGTTGTATAGCCATCAACAGAAAAAGTACTAACATCATCAGCAGTTGGTATACAATCTGGTATAGTTGATTGTTTTTTTTCTTTTCTCTTACTTGCTCTTTATATAAGTGCCAACAAAATAATAAATAACTTTCATATGTGTAAATTTATGAGACAATTGAAAAGAAAAAAAAAAGAAAAAATAGTTCTATTTATTTGTTTGTCTGTGTGTCGTGACAAAAAAAGTAATCGTATATCTTTGTCCAAATAGCATCGTCAATTTTGCGTTAAAGGCGTATGTATATGTAGTTGTTATTTGATGTGAGCTGAGCATTATGGCATATCACACCTGTGTGTAGATTTGATACATTATAAATTCATTTTCCATTTTTTTATGTTAAGTGGAAGAAAAAGAAACTAAACTCTTCTTCTTCATTGGCGTCGTCAAAAGATACATATAGATATGCCGTTTTTTTCTGATTGATATGAATGAATATGTGAGAAGGTTAATGTATAGAAAAAAATGAATACTTCAAAATAGACAAAACATAATTTGTGACCATCTCGATTTTCAAAGTTAAGCTCCTAATACACACAAAGTTTTTTAAAAAAAGAAAATAACTCAAAAGACGTAGAGAAGAAAAAAAGTAGTAATAGTTCAGTTCTATTTGTCGTTTACGACAATATCGACGTACCGAAAATTTATCAGGTATGAGACTAATCTATTTATTTGACTAAGAAGACAAATCATACTTCTAACCATTGTTTATTAGTTTGAAGAGCAAAATCAATTACAGTTTATTATTTTATTCTTTTGTGAAGACCTAGTAATGTTTGAACTTACGCGTCGATAGTTCTTTACCAATTCGTATAGTTCTCTTTATCCTTTTTCACCTTGACGCTTGATGAATATGTCAGTACTACATGTTAGATATATATTTATTTGACTCGGTCTTAAAGAAAAAGAAAATGAAAAAAGAAGAAAAAAAGAAAAACTGACCTTCTCTTTCTTTTTGTGCTTGTTAGTTCATTCATATTAAATTATAATCCTTTGCACCAGCGAACTTACATATACTTGCGCATTTACGTTCAAACATGCAATTTGTATAGCTCAAAATCGATCTCCTTTTTCTTTCTACATACCATGTTTATCACAACATGATCTGTATAAAAATTCCTATGAACAATGACATAATACAAATATCAATGATATTTTTTTTTTCTTAAAATATTTCTTCAACTTTTTTCTAATTAATTCCTTTTTTCTTGTTTGCTATTTACCAGTTTTACACTATAAAAGTCGTGCAGACAAATGACCCTATATGCCATTATCTATCTACATATATACACACACAAACATAATTGCCCACTTATTTTCAATCGATGTGTCGACGTCTACGTCTCACTCTATTCACACAAATTCAATTGATTTTACAACGGTGTGTATACACACACGTTTGCGATCCATTAGATGTTTGTATATGCTGTCACTTTATCTTTTCAAACTCACCATACTCATACATGTGTGCCTATGTATATATAAACAATTTATGTTGATATTCAAAGCATACATGCAAGTACCCTATATAGAATTATTGTTATCCTTTTTTAGCCTTTGTCACATGCATTAAGGTAGAATGAGAAAAAATAATAATAATAAAATTACTACGTAGTTTCAAGTGTTTTCGTTTGACGACACATATGATGAAAAAAAGGATGATGCGCTTTTGTTTGTCTTGAATTTATTGTAGAAATGTATATGTGTATGTGTATGTGTATATGACGGACGAGTTTATGTATATGAAAGGCAAAAAAAGTTATTTACTAGACATGAGACAACGTTAATGTTAATCATTACTTGTGTATGATCAAGCGATTTCTTTTGTACTTATTAGTATGACAACGAATGCTTTAGACACTCATTTGTACATGACTATGTTAACCTTGAAATTTTTATTTGATTCTATTAGGTTTGTCATGCATCTCTTTTTTTTAAGTGTGTACTTTCTATGCCATGAACATGCATCTTTTGAAAATAAGTTATAATATATAAAAATAACATTGAATAGATTAGTGGTCGATGTCATATTTTTTTTTGACGGTATGAAAAGAGAATTGATTGTACCGACTCAAATCTGTCGAGTCTTTTATCAGCCAGCTGTGGCTTTTATGTCATCTAATGTAGAGTTTCCATTTTTCTTTCCAAGCTGACTCGTGAACGAATCCAAGATGACGACTGAATCAGAGAATATTTCTTGAGGTTATTTGTAATACAAGTATCATGGATAAAGTACACACAAAATTACTGCCGTAGTCTTTTTCTTTTTTACGGTTGAAATAAATCTCCATGTTCTCTATTTGCTTAAAAATATTTATGGTCCACTCGTTATTCTATTCTAACAGCTATGGCAAATATGTAAAAAAAAATATTTTTTTGACTAATGCTGTATTTCTATGAATGTGTTTAGATGTATGCAAATGAATTCAAATTATTATTAACCATATAGAATGTTGTTGTCTGTCGAAATAGGTAAGGTGTTTAGTTCATTAAATCATGATAAAAAAATCAGAAATGAATAACAACATGTTTTCTTTTATAGGAAAAAAAGATTTTTATTGTTTTTTTTTTTCTTCTCGTCATTTTCTAGTGAACGTAACTCTTAGGTAGTTATATATAAGCTTTTTCTTTCTCTTTATATCTTATTTAACAATGTGTTTGAGAGGAAGTGAGAAGGACAGATGTCTTTGCTATTTCTCGTCTTCTTATTTATCAATGCGCTTGCACGTCCATGTATACATGTATGTTCTCAAAGAGAGAAAAAAAGAATTCTCTTAGTTCATTGTACTCGTGTCGGACATGTATATGCATGCGTAATAATCGATCGGGTACCGTTTGTAGATTTGTTGATTCAATCGTTCAACTGAATGTGAGAGAATGAATGCGTAAAACATCATAAAAAAAAAAGAAGTAGAGAAGAGCAATTGATATTTCACTTATGATTAATTCTTTCGTTTTTTTGACTAATTGCCGATTATATCTTCTTTATCGAATCTCACCTTTATTATGTGGGTGGATTCAATGTATTTCTTTTTCCTTTCTCTTTATTTATATAGGTTACATATAAAAAGATGCCCATTGATTTACGCTTATTCCATTGAGAATATCTACTTTGCTCTTTATGATTTTATTTTTAGATAAATAAAAAAACATCCAAAAACGAATGGCTCTATTCTATGTTGGCTATTTAATAGCTGTATCAAGTACAATTGCATTCATTGTTGCTATATTAACACCAAGATGGATCTATCCAAATGCTCTTACATATCCGAATGAAACAAATTATCGTGGAATTTTTTATGTTGATGCAGGTCGTTCAGACGGAATATGTCGTGATTGGATTCTTGTCTATAAAGATTCAGTAGCTTCATGTCGACCACGTATGTATTAAGAAAATGTTCTTATTATGTTTATAACAAATTAAGTTGTTTTAAACATTAATTTTAAATATTCTTTTTTTTTAGCGTACGCTGTTGCGTGTGCAGCATTATCAATTATAGCATCTTCACTATCGATTATTCTTCTTTGGCTTGCTGGTGGTTATCTTTACCTTCGTCGTCGACGTCTTCTTCCTCATTTTGTAACGGCTTTAGCTGCATTGACATTTTTAATTTGTAAGTCATATCTTTTATGACTTTTATCTCTAATTTCTATGCGTATTTTTTCTTTTTGTTTCTTATTATTTATATTCTAGTTTCTATAAGTGTAGTTATATGGGTTGTAATGATTACAATGAATCGTGATGCAGATTCAAGAATTCGTCGTGAAAATATTGGTTTTTCAACATGGATTGCTGTTGGTTCAAGTGGTGGATATTTAATTACATTGATATTATTTATTATCTATCGTATTGATCTTGGCCATCGAAGGTATCTCAAAGAAATGGACATGTATTCGCGTCGCTTCTAGATACATATTTATATACAAATAGAGATGTTTTGTACATATTATCTTCCGTGTCATTTTCTTGCTCGCATCTATATGTTTGCATGATCTCCCCCTTTGTGTCTGTGTGTTTCTTTCTCTTTATACTTCCAACAACATAAAAAAATCATAAAGTAGAACTATATATCTATATCTATCTATATATATATATATATGCATGAGAATCAAATTTACATAAGCTCACAGTTACAGCCACGTGATGCATAATGCTTTGTATACAAGAGTGCTAAGTAAAAAAAAAAAAAAGGAAAAGAATTCTATACACTTACATTTAATGCTATACTAACGAGAAAAAAAACTAGGCTGTACTGTAAAAAGATTAATACAAAATACAGATCAAATTCATATATCCTCGTGAAAATATAAATTTGTGACGTATATGCATGTATTTGTTTGCATCCCTGTATTTGCTTGCTTTCTCATCTCACAGTTGGCTGTCAAAAAATTTATATGTATGTTATGGTAATGTTGACCAGTAAAGAAAAGAAGAAAAAAAAGACGAGAACAAATATTGACATTGAGCTCGTCTCATTTACTTCTTTCGAAAAGCTTGATCGATTATGTATATACATATAACTAGACATTTCTTTATGTTTTTCTTTTTTTTTTCCTTTTTTCTGTATATTATCCTTTTTTTAGTTCATCTCACGATCTATATTCAGCATAATCATTTTAACGCTTCTCTACTTTTATCTTGCTTATTCAATTCAATCAAGTTTTTATAATACGATTATATACTAATAATACTATGGTTTTTAATCATATAATTACATATATGTTCGATCAAATATTTCGTTTTTGTTTTGTAATAAACTGTTTTTGGCTTTTGTTGTAATTGATTTGTACTATGTATAGATCTATGATTTTTCTTTTTGCCATACTATTGGTTTTTGTTTTGTTAATTGGTGTTACATTTTCTTTTCTTTTAGTATATGATAGATCTTGAAAAAAAAAACAACGAATATGTAAATATATATACGTATATATATGGATAAGGATATTTCATTAGTTGTATTTATAGATGTATTGTTTTGTTTTTGAAAATAATCAATTTTATATGTTAGAAAAACAATTCGTCTTTTTGACCTCGATACCTTTACATGTTAAACGAAGATGAAAGAAAAATATGATTTAAGTGTTTATACTTGATATGAGGATATTGAGTATAAGAAGTAATTTCTACTTTTGAAAAGACATATTTTTCACTTATTAGAAATAGACTGTTAGATTTTTCCTCTATTAATAGAAAAAACGTTTTTTAAAGATAATCTATTAATAATTTGAAAATATGCCTTTTAATTATCATTAAAAAAATGATATGTATGAATGCATAAGATAAATCAATATATTATAATTTTTATTTATGCATGTGTCTCTAGTTTCTTTTAAAATAAAGAACCGAATACATATGTTTTAACTAACGTGATAATCATCTCAAATTCAAATAGATATTATTTCACCAATCACAACAAACAGAAACAAACAAAAAAAAAACTAAAGCTTCTTACTCTAAGGAGATTATTTTCAAACAGCTAATCCTAATTGAAAAAAAAAATATTAGTCGTGTCAGTAGAATTTGACAAATCAAATGTCAATTTTTCAATCATTTTGATAGAAAGAAAAGACTTATGAAGATTTTTGATGAATTAAAACAAGTCACACAGTCAAAAATTCTTTCAGTGATGAATTGTTTTAATACATTGTCATAATAATACCTTCAATTTACAATTATTAGAATGCACTAATTTATATTATGAAATAAATAATGAAAAAGGAACTATATGTTATTTGAGAGAAATCTCATAATAGAAGCATATTAGTATTAGCTTAACGAAGAAAATGTGTATGGTACAGAGCGATAGGTAATACCTAATTCATATCGATTTTATTTCTAATTATTAAGATAAGAAAGGTCATTTCATAGACATTTGTTTGATTATCATTATTATCTCAAAAGACATATGCAAATGTGTCGAGAAATTTGTAATAAAACAAAAATAAAAGTTTTGTTTGAACTAAAGACTTTTATATGAGATAAATAAGCTAAATAAATACAAAATAAAGAACAAACAGAAATCAACATGAAGAGGTACCCGACGTGTTTAGCTTCATTTTTTGATTCATTCATACCTCCTCATTCGATAGATTATATTAAGGTAAGAAAAAGTCTTAAAGAGTTCGAGTTCATGATCTATATACAAAGAGTTATGGTCATTCTATTGAAATGTTTAATTAAAACTACTCAATTCGGAAACAATCAAAATGAAGAACTTTGGTCTAAATTTTTTCATGCAAATAGATTTAATGATCATGAGATAATCCTGAAAGTTTCAACAAAAACGAACATATCTTTCTCGAAATATCCAGTTTATACGAAGATTTCTTTGTTGTGTCCTTCTAAGGCAAATCGCTGTCTTCTTCTTTAGAAACTCTGAATATCTCGAGAAAGACATGTTTATTTTCGTTGAAATTTTCAGGAGTATCTCATCATTATTAAATCTATTTATGTGAAAAACTTCAGGCTGAAACTCTTTGTTTTGATGTTTTTTTAGAAATGAGTGATTCTAAATAAAAATTTCAGTGAAACGATCATAACTCATGATCAGTAGATGATGAGTCCGAATTTTTAAAATCTTTTTCTTACTTCAATGTAATCTATTGAATGAACTATGAATGAATTCGAATGGAGCTAGATACCATGAGTACTTTCCTCGTTAGCCGTCTGCAAATCATTACAAAGGAATATATGTATCTTTGAGATGCATAAATTATTATAGGTTATTTTTCCTGCTTAACATTCAAGTCATTAAAACAATAAGTTATTATGTAGATTAATTTGAACTTAATTTTGATGAAAAAAAAAAACGTAACTAAGCAAAAAATAATATTTATATAAAAAGGTAAATCATCTGAATTATTGGATTACATGTCGACAGAATTGGAAAGGCTTAATCATTATGTACAAACTTCTGTTCGCTTGTGTCTATTGACTTATATGATAAGCATTCTCTTTGTATTGATATTTGAGAATTCGAGTGCTTTTTTTTATTGCACGTTTTTCGACTAATTTTGATAGAATGTAACAGAGATGGGATCGGTTCGGTTTTCAACCGAACCGAACCGACCGACCGAAACCGAAATCGGTTCGGTTGGAGATTTTTAAAAAATCGGTCGGTTACGTTCGGTTCGGTTAGAGATTTTTTCGGTTACGGTCGGTTCGGTTGGAAGTTTTTAAAAAATCGGTCGGTTACCTTCGGTTCGGTTGGAAAGAATTGATAAATTTTTTTTTAATTCAGTTTAGCGGATTTTTTTCAGTGAGATATACCAAGAAAAAAGAGGGTGATTTTTATTCAAATGCAGAAGATAGTGCTGAAAATGATATAGATCAACAGTCTGCTTTACGATCCTCTTCACATGCATTAGAAATCGAGTTGTATACTAAACAAGGATTAGATAAATCAACAAATTCAGGTGAATCTATTCAAGAAGAATGTAATCCTTTGTTTTTCTGGACAAAGATGCATAGTTCTTATCCTATTATTTCAAAAATAGCTGCTCTTTTTTTTCTGTATCGACTTCGAGTACGGCTGTTGAACGAGAATTTAGTCTTGCCGGTAATATTATTACACAAAAACGTTCAAACTTATCTCCAGATGTCGTCAGCGATATGGTTTTCAATCATTCATACAAGATGTATCAACAAGGACTTGACAATACAGATAAATTCGAATTACATTAATGTAATATTGTGTTTATTTGTTCAGAGAATTGTAAAAATATTATTTTTGATTCGAAGAAAATAAATCATAAGGATTTTTATATAATAGAATCTTTGTTTATGAAGTACTAATGCCTTAATTAGCACCCAGTGAAAAATTTTAGGGATTTTCAATCGGATTTTTCTGCAACAAAATAAAAATAAAAATCGATTGATAATCTTGATTATTTTTTACTATGACTTAACCAATATTTATTATTGTTACTTATCTACTATGAAATTTTTTGATTAGAATCGGATTATTTCACAGTACAATCAAAATTATCAATCGATTAATAATTTCGATTGTCAGACATAATAATCCGATTTTAATCAGGAAATTTAGTACTGGATAAGTAGTAATAACAAATATTAGTTAAGTCATAGTAAAAAATAATCAAGATTATCAATCAATTTTAACTTTGATTTTGTTGCAGAAAAATCCGATTGAAAATCTCTAAAATTTTTCACTAGGCATAAGTTAAACTTTGTTTTCCGTAAACTCAGTTCAGCTTGGTTGGTTTGGAAATTTTTCGAAATTCGGTCGATTACATTCGGTTCGATTAAAAAATTTTTAAAATTCGGTCGGTTACTTTCGGTTCGGTTGAAAGCTTTTTAAAATTCGGTCGGTTACGTTCGGTTCGGTTAGAGATTTTTCCGGTTACGGTCGGTTCGGTTGGAAACTTTTTAAAATTCGGTCGGTTACGTTCGGTTCGGTTAGAGATTTTTTCGGTTACGGTCGGTTCGGGTAGGAAACAAGGCAACCGAATCCCATCTCTGGTNAAGAAGTTAATGTGAGACTCATTGAAACTTATTCAACAATAATAAATTACATCAATACTTAGAAAAAAAATCCTGATTTATTCTTTGCAATTACATTTCTGTTCTAATTATAATTTTTGATTAATTGTAATAGTAATCAATCAACTATAATGGTTATGAGTTTAGAAATACAGTTCTCTACATTTAATTCCAAAAACTGGCTCAATTTTTTTTCTAGCCAAGACGGACTCGATTTTTGTTTTTCAAAATATAAATCGAATCGAAGAGAAACTTTTTAAAATTCGAGCAGAGATAACTCAAGTTAGGAAATTACGATGCGAATCACTGTATAGTAATCGTTCACAAATTTTTTTACTTTCAGGACACATAACTTGAACCGCAATTTCGTGTTGCGATGATTTAAAAGTCGAAGAGTCGTACGACATTCGTTCAAATGTTGTTATAAAATTTCATTTATTCTCAATTCGCTCGATAAGTTGACGACTTTGAAATTGAGAGACCCTATTTCTTTTTTCAAGATAACGAAAACGAGTTAGAGCAGCAACATTGATTAGATCAAAAGTTGCCACCAGCTTTCGAATTTTTCGTCATATCTAATATCAATAATTGAAATTTTAAATGTATTCGTCAGTATCATATATTAAACGATACTTAAATCGTTATAACTACACATCAATATAATTGATTTAATTTACTTTCTGCTTGATAAAAGTTGCTAAGAATTGTTAGAGAGCCTACAATGCTAACTATCTAAGTGTATGTCTGTCATTTTATTGACTAGACATAGACCACATCATAGTTCTTTGTTTTCAAACAGAGTTTAAGGGTTGATTGTATGTGATTGATTGATTGTGAATTTTTTTCATTTCTGTAGTGTTAAGATTTCTTTAGATTATCGTTAATAAGAGCATTAATTCAATGCAGCATAATACAATAAAATTATGGTTGCTGTTCAATCACAACTCGTAGTTTCTGTTGATTCGACAATACAGCAGACCTTGATTTCTTAGTGAGGTAAGCTACAGAAGTTTTCTAAATCAGATAAATGATGAAGATATTCTTTTCGAATCCCATGTATAATAACAATTAGTCAAAGATTCTCATGAAAAATTGTTCTATATGGTACGATCTATCAGGAGTTTTTAAAGCAGTTCCATCATGTACATACATATACAGTCAACTGCAAATATATTTGTCTTGAAATCAGCATTCAATTACTTTCAGTAATAGAGAATCAAAACAAATTGGAGATAAAACAAAAACGATGAAAATAAATGAAAACTTAGTTAAGAATTGTCATGCACCAGTGTATGTACTATTAAATGTCATGAGCTTTTTATACAGTATCTATTCATTTTCAATTAATACAAAATTCGGTTTGCTCCCTAAGAACCCATATGCGGTGTACATAATTAAACGTGCATCAAACTCATTGTTCTATTTTTTGCACTATATAGATATCGTTTTTCGTTAAATTTGACATTTCAACTAATTGGAAAGTTTTAAAATTTCATAAACGATATGTTCAGTTTGGCCTTCGAAGTGAACATACAAAAGAAACTAATTTTAAAACTAGATGTAAATTACAGCAACATTATCAAGTAATCATAGAAAAATATCATATATGTCACGTCTCGTCTTTACAACAAATTAATGACTATCGTTGCATTTATAGATTTTCTTTAAGAATAATATGAGAACGTGGATGCAAACAGTACTTGTTGTATTCTGTGTTAGAATTGATTGATTATTCATTTAAGGAAAACAAAATTCTAACCAAAAATAACAACCGTCTATCTATATTTTAATTGATTTCTCATGATATAGAACATACTAAAATTAGAATTCGTCATGCATTTTCAAACAACAATGCGCAGTAATCTGTTTTTGTGTACAAAGCCATTCACGGTAACATTAAGAGAACGAGAGAGAAAACTTCTAGAACCATAAAAAGACAATAAAATGTAACGCAACGTATAAACGAAGTATTCATTAAAAAAAAGTTTGAGTCCAATCAACGGAGCCTAGTAGGAGAAAAGGGGAGAAACTTCAATCTTTTGCTTGAGAATCAGATTTTGAGCAAATCGCAAACAAATGTGCACCTTTGGACTTGTTTAGCATAAAATTGAGTGTTTTTCGAGTTTTGAACAAACAAAAAGATGGTTTTGTTTTCTTAAAATATACTCGTCGGGTAGAAGGCATCTAAATCTATATACTAAGCATAAAAAATGAAAAACGAAAAAACTGAAAATTTTGGGTCGGGAAAGGGAGGATCCTCTTAAGTGAAATGCAAAACAAATAGAAACATCTAGAAAAAAAATTCCATCACACTATATAAGATCAAGTCATCTTATTTTGTGCTCATTGATTAAACAACAGTCACACCATGGACAAAAAGAGAAAGCTGATAACAACAACAATAATAGAAAACATGTTTTATTTCCAGGATTATGAACTGCCAATGAAGGAAGACTGGAACTAAAATGATTTCTACGTCTTCTTGATGAAGATCCACGGTTTTCTATTCTACGAAAAAGTTTATTGTACATACATATATACTTAGTTTATATGTATATACCAATGTTTTCGTTTTAGTTAATATCCATTTTAATTTCACTAGTTTTAACATAAGTAATGCTCGTCGCCGAGACTCGCTTGATCCTCGACTGAGTCTTCAACTATTTCCTATGTAATATATTACTTTACGAGCAATATCAATACTAATATCATATATATCCATGAGTGTGGCCGCAAAGTGCACCAGTAAGTATATGGGTTCGTCTCGGTCCCGGTGCCACTGAAGACATCGATGTTCGGCCGTGACGGTCATACGATTAGGGGGGGGGGGGGGGGAATTTCCCCCTCCTAAAATTTTGGGAGAAAGTCGCCCTGGAAAAAATTATCGTTTTTCTCCAGCGGATTTGCTCTTTGGAAAAATATTTTCGTTTTCTCCCAGCAGATTCTGTTTGGAAAAAAAATTTTTTCCCCCCTTGGTCACAAACAAACGAAAACTCTGGTGCCGTCTGATGCTTCTGTTCACATNTGAAAGAAAGGCCTAATGGCACGAACTCTTTTAGGCTTTTTCTAGTCTTATTGGGTCCTACTTATGAGCACAATATGAACCCAAATGGTGCGTATCACTTGGGAATGTTCCCTCGTTAGTTTATCGAGGTATATAGTAGTGCATTGAGACTTGCTGTAGATATAATGGATGTGTACAACATACTTATTTGCCAGTTTTATCAATCGTTAGAATAAAAATAATGTTAAATTAAGCAAAATAGAATACAAAAAAAGAAAAATTACGAGTGAATATTAGTCGACTATCGTTAGAAAACAACTATAGTATGCGAGAGATTTTTTGCTTCACATATTTTGTATTCGTATAATGAGACTAAAGTATACATATGAGTTGCACATATTAGTCGAAATGAGATTGTGTGTATAAACATTTTTTTTTTCAAATAAATTATTCTTTATAGGCATGGAATATCCTTTGTCAATCGAATAGTATTGTCCAACAATGTACATTTTCATCATATCAACGATGGATTTGTTTATCTGTTCATCCAGCTAAAGTACCGATTAATCCAACATTGTTATTTAATGATGAACAAACTCAACAAGTATAAATTTTAATTGTGTTTGTTTTTTTATTTATTTAATCCATTTATTTCTAGACAACAGCAATAGTTGATAATGATGATAAACGTTATTTAAGTAGTGCAACAACAAATAATCATCAATATTTAGCTATGGGTTTTACAATATGTTATCAAGAAGCTCCATTAGAACAAGATCGTACTGTTATTAAATGTCGTCGTTTAGCAGCACGATTACTTGGTCAATTATTTATTCATTACGATCAACAACAAACAAATGATGTTTTAAATTATATAGCATCTCTTAATTATCGTTCAGCTGTACAACGAATGGTTGCAGGAATGATAGCTAGTGAATGGGCAAAAGTAAATTGTTTTTTTTTTTTTTAATTTTAATTTTTATTAGAATTAATATTTTTTCAGAACATGACTGATTTTTCAAACAATACAAATGTTCTTCAAGAACGTTTTCATCAGGCATTAAATGAAACACTTTATTTTGATGAAATAGCACCATCATTTACTAAACTTAAACGAGATTTTACATCATTTATGTATGAATGTGCTAGACAACGATTATGTAATCCACAATCAATTGAAACAATTGAGTAAGTTTTAAAAAAATACAGTAAAAAAAAAATCATAATTAAAATATCGAGACACGTTCCCTTTGACGTCGATTATTATAATATTTTGTAATTACCTAGACGTTAAAGTTTTGTGTAACTCGAAAAAGAAAATCTTCAATGAACTTCTCTGGGTTGTATTCGAAAGATAAACAAATACATTCTTTGTTCCAGTTCATACAAAATTTTATTTTAATTATTATTTTTTTTTCTTTTGATTTAATAATTATTTTTACTTTATTAAGACTTCATTCAGTTGATCATATTATTGAATTATGTGATAATGTTCATCCAAGTATTGATTCACATATACAATTAAATGGACAAAAACAAAATATTCGTGATGAAGCTCAACGAATACAAAATGAATCAGAAACACTTGCACTCAGGTTAAAATTTTCATATATATTAATAATTAAGATCTAATTTATTTTTTTTTTACTGGAAAACAATCAATCTACCTTGATCTCCGATTCCGATCAAAAGAGAAATAGCATACTTTAAGTTATAGAACTTTGTTTAACACTCGTACCTTAATGATTCTATAAGAGCTACTTACTCAATAATAAGTATATCTGTTGAAGTGATATTATTAAAACAAAAGAGACTAGATTTAAAATCCCTAATGAAAAACGAAATAAGAGTAAAGCATAACGCAGGTTTCAAGGAGGAAAGAAGAAAGACTGATTGCACTAGAATGTCTCTGAAAATTCAGTATAACATTTAATATCGTTCATATTGATAATTGCTACTAAATCTGATGAACTATAATTTGATAATCAATTTGTATGTTAGACGAATCGTTTAGAACAGTAGAAACAGCAAATCTATCTTTTCTTTTTTTTTTTGCCACTTGGAACGGTTCACGCTTAAGCTGGACTATTCGCGCAACACATAATCGTACAAAGACCTAGCAAATGTGCATAGGATAGATTATCATCGGTAAATGTGAAGAAAATGGTGTCAGTAAAGACGGTGATAATATAATCACAGTGATTAAGATTTATTCGCTACAAATTAGCAAAATGAGACTAAAGCACATGCAGCCATAAGAAGATAAGAAGTACGAGTATTAAAAATAGAAGTCATTGAAGTGTCGAACAGGCTTTGAGTTCTATTATATCTTCTATTTTTTTCTGTGACTCACGATTAAGCTTTCGTAGATGCCTTCCATCTGATTTGAATGGTTTTTATTGCCTATATTGATTTTTTCAAATATCTATTTAACAGACGTCCCCGCGAAAACCCAGATTTTTTGGCATAATTGTATTCTTGAATTTTGTTTTACAGCTACCTCTATTAGAAGGTCTGACATGTAATAACTTGTTTCAAAAATTTTTGACGTCGTATCTACGAGGTATGAACTTTTCAAAACATTTTTTTAATGATTCACTAAGCCTTTCCAAACGCGTATTTTTCAAAACTTGGTAGCTTGAAGATACAAAGTCTACAAACGCTGAAACTTTTCATACAAGCTACTCCTATGTGCAACCTTCAGATGGAGCTGGTTTTAAGACAAAATTCAAAAATATGACTTTTTCAAAAATTTGTATCCTATAGAGGTTTCATAATCAGAAGAGGGCATCTAAGGAGGTTCTGTTGTCAACTAACCTTCGGTCAAAGCCGAGTGAGACTTAGATTGAGAATATTCTCTGCTTAAAGATGTACTTCCTATATATGTCTGATTGACGAAACATTGTTCATTTTATGTAGATCAACAGCTTATTTGGCATCAGCTTGCGTTTATTGGCATTTTCTTGGTGATCAACTCAATCCACTTATTCGACCATTGATGGATGCATTAAAAAAAGAATTAGATCTGCAGATTCAAGTGAGATATTGTTAGATACCATTACTAAATGAAACTTATATAAAAAAAAATATGGTTTTCTTGATTTAATCATTTAAGAAAATAAGAGAAGAAATACAACAGATCAGAGATGAAACCAGTCTGAGTGGGTGGAACCAGGTTCGACCGATTGGTCTAAAATTCATACCAACATTGGATTTTGACGAGTTGTCGTACTGTTTCCTTTGTGCATAGTGATATGCATCGTAGTTAACTTCCAATAGAGTTTCATTACACATCCTCGATGAGATAAAAAGAGCAAAGAACAAATAAGATACATCGATAATGATCGGTCTGCAGGCGACCGGCAGGTAACCGGTACTGATTTCATCTCTGCAATAGATCATTAAAATTATTCTACTATGTTTAGCAGAGCTTAATCATTTGAATGTATAGCATTGTTTTCTTTCGATAAATCTTTAAGTTCATTTTATAATTTAGAGTCTTCTCAAAAATGTTAGATAACTCATTCAAACTGAATCTTTAAATTTTATCGATAAATTAAAATTAACTTGTATTCTTATGTCTTCTTTTTAGAATGATATAGCTCATGCTATTGCAGAGCTTATCTGGCAATGTACGCAACGCACAGCAAATCCTAATCCGAATAGTAAAATTATTAAAAATTTATGTAGTTATGTTTGTGCTGATTCGGACGAGACACCACATATTACAAATACTTCACGTTTTGCAGGTTTTTATATTTTTATATAATATCACACTTATTTCATTGATTAATATTTAATAGAATCTAGTGAAACATCAATAAATGTTAATGAAGAATATAATTGTACTATTTCTAAAGGAATTTATACTTGGCAAAAAACAAATAGTGTAAAAACAAAAAAGAAACACAACATGTCTTTTTTTCGGAAATAAATCATTTCTAATTTTGATTATTCTAGGATGATACAACAAGAGTTCTTTTAAATCGTGATTCATCAACTGATTCAACATCTACACCTTCTTCAAACAGTTCAAATACGAAAAAATTCGTACGATCATTGAAAAAAAAATAAATAACAAAATTTATATATAGATATATTGCCTTTTGTAGAATTTTGATTCAACAAATAATAATGATTGTGCGAGACATGGTGGTGAATGTGCTCTATCCGCTATTTGTCGTCGATTTGATGTTGAACTTCAATCGAAATTATCAGATTTATGTAATCGAACAGTAACAGATATTGAACAATTTAATGATGGTTTGTTGAGTTTTATAAACATATAATACAAAAGTCTTGTCACAAAATATTCGCACATTTTTCAACCAATAAAAAGCAACTGGTTTGAGTCAGAAGCAGTTAGTTAGTTATAGCACTTTTCGTTATTTCCGAATATATGATTAAATTTTCTCTCTAGGGTAAAATTGAACAATGATTAGTAAACTTTGTTGACAAGTCTAAAATTGTGTTTATAAAAAGCAAAATAGCCGTTTGGATGCAGTCTTTTATCTAAATTTTCTTTTTCGGAAGGATGATTTAAAAGTCGATGCGAACAAACATCTTTTCTGTAGGACATAGACGCATAGTACTATAACCAAAAACTTCAGAAGGGGTAATCCAATCTACAGAGGAACATCGCCATCATGTTGGATATAATACTGGCTCTTAGTTTACGTATTGGAATAGCTACAATCCAACTTTATCGTAGAGCATTAAATTCTGTACCAAATGAGATATTACATACAATCTCATACTACTGAAAATCTATGTTTTCACTAGAGAGCTAGTTTCTATGGAAATCGGGATTAATCAAAAAGCATGGTTTCAAAACTGCTTTTCAAAGCAGAAAAATTTAAAATATGTCGTACAAAATAAAATAGCACACATTGTGAAGCAAACTTTACTCTAAAAAACTGAACCATTAAAACGTGTTTTTCATTTTTAATTTAATAGGTTCTAATCGAAATACTAAAGTGAGAGAAAAGGAAGAGTAATTCTATCTTGCTGCTACCTTACGGTATGGGCTATCACCTTCCGACAGATTTAATTGCTTGATATCTTCTCTACGACTATGACTAGCTGTAGCTATAAATAGAAGGCCTACCTGACGCAGTGTTATTGCTCTTATTCTTGATTTCCACTCGCACACTAACTAGCCACAAAGTCATAGGTATGTCACGACGTAATCCGTATACTATCGGACGAGTGATCCAAGACAAATAGCTTTTAATGACTTGTTCAGGATGATTTCATAGGCAATGGTACTAAGGTTTGTACAAGATACTTTGTAAACACGTGTCAGAGAACGTTATCATTAAGCTATGACAGCTTAAACACAAATTTGACCAAAATAGTATTCTACGCAATCACTATTTTGGACTTTTGAAATAGTTTGATGATAGTTGTCCAATTTTACTCGAATAGTAACTTTTGAACATATTTTCGGAAAGAGCAAACCGAGTCTGTTTCTAATTAATTACTTCTGACTCTAACCAGTTGTCTGTAAATGACAGAAAAATGAGTGAATATTTTGTTTCAAGACTTCTGTGTCATTGTTTATATCGATCGAATTAAAATTTGTCTCGTTTCATTTAGAATTATGTCAAACACAATCAACAGCTGATGCTCAACATTTAGCAGATACACTTCAAATTCTTACTATCATCATTCCACATGTTCATGAAACTATTTTAAATAATGTAAATCATCATTTATATTTTAGTTTCTTTTTCTATTTTCAATTTTTAGTATCTTAATCTTTTACCTAATTTATCTCGATGTTTGTCATCTAAATATACAGTCATACGTTTTCTAACTGCACGTTGTATTGGTATTTTATCAATACATAAAATTGAATATGTACTTCAATTTATTATTGATTCTATTCTACCAAAATTAACAAATTCAAATATGGATACAAATTATTTACAAGGACCAATTGAAACTTTATATCGTAAGAAAGAAAAAAACATTTTTACTTTGAAAACTTATTTTTTTTATTTTTATGTTAGATGTTATTGATAAACAAGCACTTAATATTGTTCCTTATGCAAAACACTTAATGTTACCTTGTATTCAAACTATGACACATCAAGATTGGTATATACGATCAATAGCTAGTAATTGTTTTGCTGTTCTTATTAAATATTATGCTCTATATGTAAGAATGATTTAAGAAAATAATTAACAAGAAAAGTTCAATAATATATCTTATGATTTAGAATGATGATAAACAAATTGAACATACAAATGGTATGGAAAATGAAAATTTTCTTGAACAACTTTTCGATAATACAAAAATCCCTGTTTATCATTTACCAATGCCAGTTAAAGCAGATATTAGGCCATATCAGCATGTAAGTATAATTTAAGACAAAATAAAGAATTGCTTATCAATGTTAATTAATACGATATTTACACCATACAAAACTATATCTAATTTCTCATGCTGCTATCACTTCATTTTCATATTACTATTAATCATATATAAGAAAAATAGGTTTCTAAGTAAGGCAAAGTTCGTGTTTAGAACATGATATCGTAGCAAATGCATTCATAAATATAAGCATAAATGTTCATCTTATTTAAATTATTCATTGCTTGTACTCCCAAAGCAGTCGAATTACAAGTGAACAAGATCATAGTGGCACCAGTACGATGATAATATTAAAAGCTTGTTGTACCATTCTTTCATATTGTCATTTACTTGATTCTAATTGATCATTTTCTATCTAATAGGATGGAATCAATTGGTTAATGTTTCTTAAACGATACAATTTATCATGTGTTCTTGCTGATGACATGGGTTTAGGAAAAGTAAGATTCTTTTATTCTACTTATCTTATATGCTTATTTTTCTATTAGACACTTCAAACAATTTGTGTTCTTGCTGCTGATATCGTCGAACGACGAAAAGAGGTTTGTAACAAAAGAAAATTATCTGAATTTATTCAAAAATTTTCTATTCATATTAATAGAATTTTGAAGTCCGACCATCACTTGTTGTTTCACCACCAACATTAACTCGACATTGGACAAGTGAAATGAATAAATTTGTTAGTGAAGATTCTCTTCGACCATTACTCTACGCAGGAAAAAATTTAGCTGAACGTGAAGGGTTCATAATTTATTTCTATCTCTTATTATTTTTCTTGATTTTTCTTTTAAATTATTTAGATTACGAATTAAATATTTACAAAACCCAAAAGAATATACAGTTATTGTTGCTTCATATGATGTTGTTCGTAGTGACATAGCATTTTTTTCGTAAATATTTTTTTTATTAATTTTATTCTTTCTCTTGTTTAATGTAATTTTTTTTTTTTACATAGAACTATTCCATTTAATTATTGCGTACTTGATGAAGGTCATGTTATTCGAAACTCTAAAACAAAATTATCCAAAGCTATTCGTCAAATTTCAGCAGGTCTATATTTAAAACAAAAATATTTCATCATGAAAATAATTATTGTTTTTCTTTTAATAAATAGCTCATCGTCTTATATTATCTGGTACACCTATACAAAATAATGCACTTGAACTGTGGAAATTATTTGATTTTCTTATGCCGGGTTATTTGGGTTCAGAAAAACAATTTATTCGTCGTTACCAAAAGCCATTATTAGCATTAAGTCGTGATCGTGATCTTGAACATGGTAAAAACAGCAACACAAGAATTTTCACATCATGAAAAAGTTTTTATTTTTTTAATTTTTTAAAATTTCATTTAGGACAATTAGCAATGGATGTTTTACATAAACAAGTTAAACCATTTATGTTACGTCGTTTAAAATCAGATGTATTAAATGATTTACCGCCGAAAATTTTACAAGATTATTATTGTGATTTGAGTTCAATACAATGTATGCTTTATGAAGACTTTGCTAATAAAACAAAAGAACAAGTTAAATATGTTGATAATGATTCAACAAATAAAAATGGAAATTCTGCAACAGGTCATGTATTTAAGGTAGGAAAAATAATTTTTATTATTGATAACATTTTTCGTTTATTTATTTTTTATATATTAGGCATTACAATATTTACGTAAATTATGTAATCATCCAGCATTGATTTTAACACCTGAACATCCAAAATGGTTAAGTGTACAGAATGAATTAAAAGAATCACAAATCAGTTTGAATGATATTCGATTATCCGGCAAATTACTTGCTCTTAAGTAAGTCGATAATAATATTAAAGAAATTAAATATTTGTGATTAGTAAAATAAATGAAATAGTCAATTAGTGATGAATCAGATTTGTTAATGAATTTAGGGATGTATAGCTTCAGTAAACTATTCGAAGAAACCTTCACACTGACATGACTGTAAATGAGTGCTGAAGTATTTGACAAGAAAATGAAACCCATGTTCCCCATCTTGTTCCAATGACCACGACAAACATACCAACGTCCTTTTAATCTACTGACAGACTCACAGAAATGTAGATATGTCTATAACGATCTAGCGAGTTTTCCAATATGTTGCCTTTCAGCTCCATCATGATCTGTCATATCGACGGTCAAATTTTTCGCAATGATTAAAATAGCTTCATCATATTTAATATTTTAATTTCGTAAGGATTGTGTTACAAGCTTTTATTTCAGTATCTATTTCCCTAAATTTTTTCCTTCTTGGTATCTATCGATGAACAGAAGATTTCATAGGACTTAAATTTTATATTAGCTTTGTACACTAAAGAAATGTTTTCGTCAGACATAAAAATTGTGAATCAACAGTAGATTTACTTTATTATCTCTTATATCTATATAAAAGATATGATATCAATTGTATCGAAATGAAAATAAATATATGATAAATTAAAATGACAATAAATGATTTCATTTTTTTCCAATAAAATAAATTGATATCGAACTGAGTTGATAAAATATATTAAGCGTATTTTGATGAATATTCACTTCATAGAAATATTCTAATATATGTTCCCTAATAGAAATATCGATTGACATTAGTAAAACTGATATGATTTGTGAAAACAACAAACACTTCTATGATCAATTTTTTGAAAAAAGTCTTTACTGGCCAGTAAAGAAATCGTCTGCCAGATCATATCGACTGTTTACCGTTACTGATCACAATTCTAGGCATCAGTTAATTACAGATGCGACAAAATCAAGAGTCATGAACTTAAATATAGAGCAAGTATTTATCTACTATGTCATGTTGACAAGAAAAAAAAAGTTACTATTTATAAATCTGAAACTGAGCATAATAATTATAAGAGTGTGATGAATGTAAATGTAAATCAAATGAAAATTCATCCTCTATTTTATACGAATAAAAAAAAATCTTCTCTATAATTTTTAATGTGAATTATATATAATAAACTGACTATTTCTTAATAACATATTGATAATTGAAGTATTGATTATTTAAATTACAATCTAAAATAAATTCTTTCATCATTTAACAGAGAATTATTAATTGAATGCGGTATCGGTTTATCAAAAGACGCTGTTGTATCAACACATCGTGCATTAGTTTTTTGCCAAATGAAAGTAATGATTGATGTGATTATTAATCAAGTTCTTGGGTAAATTAATGCTATTGAATTTCGTTTTAAACTGATTTTTTTTTTGTTTTTTTTTTAGAACAATGGATAATGTTAGTTTTCTTCGTTTGGATAGTTCAATGAATGCAGTTGATCGTTTTAATACAGTTAATTTATTTAATTCAGATCCAAGTATTGATCTTTTATTACTTACAACACATATTGGTGGACTTGGTTTGAATTTAACTGGTGCTGATACAGTTATATTTGTTGAACATGATTGGAATCCAAGTAAAGATCTTCAAGCTATGGATCGTGCACATCGTATTGGACAAAAAAAAGTTGTTAATGTTTATCGATTAATAACACGAAATACAATTGAAGAAAAAATTATGAGGTTTGTTTTTGAAGAGATTCTTTTTAAGATTTTTCTTTTTCATCGCATTATTTATTTTAGTCTTCAACGATTTAAAACAAATCTAGCTGATACAGTATTAGCATCGGATAATAATTCATCGAGTTTACTTAATTTAGAAAAAGACACAAATTTAATTGATCTTATATCATTAGGTGATGAAGCAAAAGGTCAATCATTAGTAATGGATAATTCAACGAAAAAATACAATACAAATAAAAAACAAACATTAAAATCAATACTTGATACATTTTCTGAACAAGTTGATAATGATGTTGATTGTTATAATGATGAATATGATGTGAAAAAATTCATTCAGCAGCAATAATTAAAGATATCAAGAATCTCGTGATAACAATATAAATTATCAATCATTACTTTCTTTATCTATTGTCTTCTTTTCTTTTCAAGTAAATAAACTTTCTTTAAATATATATATATTTATTTATATTTATATAATTGCGTTTAAACAGATTTATTTCTCAAACTATAGTTAAAACAAGATATATGAAATAAAGTAGAAAAAAAAAACTATACAATTCTATATTGATCTTTTTTTTGTTTATATATTATAATATTCATAACTGTTGCATAAATTACATTGTAGATTGAAGTTGTATGTTCAAATATAGATTCGAAGACATATAACACCATTCAATTCTTTAAAATAACTCAACTGAATTATGTGAATTCGGTCCATTTTTAAAAAAATACCACTATAGCAGTATAACAACAATACAATTATAACATGTAAAAAAAAGAATAAAGCTACATACAATACATCAAGGGGGAAACAGCAGACTTCAAGACTTCAAGACTTCAAAAGACTTCAAGAGACTTCAACGGACTTCAGCCGCAGTGACTTCATATTTTCACAAGACTTCTACAGACTTCATAAAACTTCATCGGACTTCATAAGACTTCGTAAGATTTCAAAAGGCTTCACAAGATTTCAAGAGGCATATTCCATGTGTATCAAAAACAACTTATAGAAATTAAATGAAACCTCTATAACATGCAAAAAAGCTTATCATTAAGTAAGGGTGTCATTTACCATGTACTTTATAATAAATACAAATTACTTATCATTTAATTTACGCGTAAATTAAATGAAAAGTAAATATAAATTGACACCCCTATCATATAGAGATTAATAAAAAGGTTTCTTGTTTCGGAGAATTGTTTCTCGCAACAGATCTATATCTAGAATATTTTACGATGACACGAGTAATGTTGAATACATGATTGTACGTATCGCAGACATTTTAAGTGCTTGAGATTACACTCACACCCTAAACACAAGCAAACGGCTTGTTGGTAATTGACCGACAAAGTTAGCAGTCTATCGGCTGATAGATTATCACGAGTGATAGAAACAAACAAACAGGATTGAAAATCTTCATCAGATTGATTTGGATAGATGGAAAATTTCTTATAAAAATAAACCACTTCATTCAAAAAGCATTCACTTATTAATTATCATGTTTTCTAAGATCAAACAAGCTTGAATTTTTTCCAGTGCATTAAAAAAAACAATAAAAAGTTCACCTTTCTACTAAAATAAGACCGTCGAAAACAAGNTATGTTTTGTCCTTACAATAGTGGAGAAAACCTTCCCTGATTCATTTTTATACCTAAATTTCACATTTCATAACTCCTGCTAGAAGCAACTTGGGCCCGAACTAACTTAGGGTACATCACTCCTAGCTATGCCCGATCTAACCATCATATCCCCGACTGAAAAGCTTTTTGACACCTCGGGTAGTTCCCTCGTTAGTATAGATTTCAAACTAAATTATATATGACGCTAGGCCTTAATTCATCAGCCACTCATGAATTTGATATCAGCCAATGAAGTATTTTAAGTTTTGTCGAAAGAAATGTCTTTTATTTTCTACAACTTATATCCTGTTTGAGTAAAATCTCTATGAATCTTGAGAATTGAGTAGAAGGATAGATTTCTGGCAGTGATACTAACGACTATTTGCTTGAGTACACAGGTCACTTATAAATCATATATTAATTTATTCTGAAGTCCAATTTCTCTTAAGCAGGTTGTAAATCGTGTGAATAAAAACAATTATGTATTGCTTGAATTGTAGGAAAGTAAACAAAGAGTAAACGAAGATAGATTTTAGATTAGTATATTCACGCCGTTCGTCTGACTACATAATTCGTTCATAAATAGTAGGTTATATCGATACAGCTAAAAAGTTTCAATGAATTGATAATAGTGGTGGTCATCTTTTTGGGATTTGACTACATCCAGTAAAGTAATTAAGTATCTTTACTTAACATTTAATAGCAAGTCTAAACGTTTTTCCACTTAAAACTTGATACACTTAAACTTAGTTTTAAATGAATTAAGTGTTAAGTAGAAAAAATCTTATCTTATTATTAAGTATTAAGCTTTTTATTAAAATTTAATATTAAAAGTTAACTTTTGAGTAAGAAAAATTAGATTTAATGCTAAGAATTTAGAATGCCTTTTTTGTTTGGATTAGAGATTTTTTAAGATGCGAATGTTTATTACAAGTCGAATTAGTTTGAATGTAAAACTGAAGAAAATAAGATGAACAGAACGTATAAAATATAATTAAAATTCGTTTTCCGTATCACAAAAATCTCGGTTTCATGGTTGTGATTGATGGCCTAGTCCAATGGGGTATTAGTATCGTCAACTTGCGATAGGGACGGACTTTTGTTGTCAATTTATGCGACTCGTAATGTTTTCCATACACTACTTCGTTTGTGATCACACTTGCACGCGCTTGAACAATAATTCAAGTGAGTGAATACGAATTTTAAGTGGTGGAACTAGAAGTTCAAACGCCTGAACTTATCAAAACGTGTCAAGTCTTGCCTCTAGATGCATCCATATCACATAACTTTTTTACTCAAGATGCTCAGACACTTCATGAGCATTAAAAAAGGTTCGACAGAGACCCAATTTCTGCTGTTTTGCAGCGCTAATGCATTCGACAAAACTTCTCTCTGATTTGCGAATATACTCTTTTCTGTTCAAACCACTTGACGCCGCCGCTGATACTATCCTCTAAATTATAAAATATCGTAGAGTGTTTATAGTTTATATCATTAGATACTATTTCTTACGGAACTTACCGTAACATGTCAGTACCACAGTATAATATAATCAAGGATCGAATATCTGTTATTCTTTAGCTTTATCACTTTCTCATTATTATGTGCATTGCTAGCCATTCCTATTAATAGCAGTACAACTAATACTTTCATTTCATTGTTGGTTTTATATATTACATATTTAATATCAAGCTAAATATAACTTTCTGGTTGCCAGAATATCATGACTTGTCTAACGTAGAAAGTTTTCCTATTGATACAGTATGGTACGAGGAGTAAGATGGTACTGAATGATGATATATAATTAATATCTTATATTTACAAAAACAATCCTTACGAAAAAGCTTCTACTTAGTCACCAGAATGGATCTTTATTATTCAAGTATCCCAAAATGTACATATTATTTAAGGATTGATTCAAATAACTGCAAACTGTCATGTACTACAACCAAACGAAATATGCAAATTTAGTTTTCCTTCAATTATCTGTCTTAGTTATCAAAATGTTAGCTACAAAAAGGAATCAATCATTAGATAAATTTTCATCAACTTCATTTATTTCTAACAGTAACATACATTTCTTTAGCATCTATTGTAGTACAGTTGATGCATAGTCACTTGCCTATCCAATTAAAAGAACATTGGTAAAAAAATATACTATTGGATAACTAAACAACTGTTTTTGCAACAATTTATTGATATTATAACAGTCGATCATGCAAGAAATAGATTTGAACATTTAAACTAGCTAGGATAATCAGCTGTTTCCTATTTATTTTATTAGAGTTTTATCCATACGGATCTTTAATCTTTTTTTCGCTATTGACACGAACTTTGTTATTTTCATTGATTATTTTGTATGTAAAATTCATCATCATAATTTACTTGGATCAATGAAAATCGTTTGATTGATAATATCAACAAAAAGTTCATGTACAATAGAATATAAGCCACAAAAACTACAACTAGACTCTCGCGGAATAGACAACAGGTTTTTTATTTAATATTAACCCTTTTATATTGAAAAATACGACACTATCGATATTATTACAGTGCAAAGCATTATAAATACATCAGTTTTTACGAATATTTAATAATATTGGCCAGTAAAAAACTCAGACTTTGGAAACTTCGAGTTATCCTATTAAAACTCCAATTATTGATTATAATTTCATGTTCTGATACTATTAGTGTCAAGAAATATTTCATTCATGTGTTGCATGCTGAAATGAGAAAAACCGTGCTATTTTCACCGAGGTGTTAAGTTATATTGTTATTATCGTGAAATTTGTTATATGGATCGGAATTTCTATCATTTAAACCTGTTTCATTCTTTTTTTGAACGACAACAATTGTTGAACAATTTTCTATTGAATTTTATTGTGCAAGTCGATTTTAAAAGTTCATTGCAACAATTGGTGCGGAAGTTTTCTAGTGATCTTATTTTTAATATAGCGTGATAAAAACTCGTCGAGAAGACTAGATGGTTTTCTTTGAAAAGAGCAAAGTCTCTAGTATACAGTTACTTAAAAAATATTTGTTTCAAAATACTTACTGAAACCTGCAAAGTTTTAAGAATATATTTGGCTGGAAAATTTCTCTGCCAACTTATGGAATTTAGAAGAAAACTTCCATCCACTAAGAAGGTAAGTCTTGTTTTCTGTCTCTTATCGAGCTTTGTCGCGTAATAATAGAACATTGTAAACAAGTAAAAATAATATTTTCAAGTTATTGCTTGAGTTCGAAATCAATACTTTTCGAACGACTTTTACTAGAGAAAAGTATTCACATTGATAGATGCTTTCGAAAAATAAGATTATTTCCTGCAATCCAAACTAGTAAAAACCTATATTTTACGTTCAACTACAGCTTAGCGCGCATTTTACAAAAACATATTATATGTAGTTGTCGACGAAAATCCCATAGCTAGGCGAAACTCATCGATGTAAGAGTTGTTTGCCTTAAAACATCTAACATAAGAAGAATTTAATGAGTCCTGATTGCAGGAAAAAGCTTGAGATCTAACTCCTAATCCAGACTGAGATCTAAGCTAACATCAACGATATTTTCCTCTTGTATTATCTCGAGCTAGGAAGACGATATAATATTGTTCGACCTACTATTCGAAAGTTCGACTCTTCTTCTCTTTACAGTAAAATTTTCATGATAAATGGACATACTTTTTTAAAGTTATGAATTATTCTCTGTCTATCTATGAGACTATCA